GGAGAGGAGGGGAGGGGAGGGGAGGGGAGGGGAGGGGAGGGGAGGGGAGGGGAAAGGGGGAGAATATAAGGGCTCGATTTCATCACTCGTAGGCTGGCTCTGATGGCGCCCCTGATGGTGTCCGATTGAGTGCAGCGGCGGGATAGGGGGGAATGCACACAGGTTTGGATTGGCACGTAGAAGTCGTTGATATTGTTGTTCTTGCGCATATAGTTCATGACGTACGTGCGTCTGCCTGTCTGTATGTATGTGTGTATGTACCCCGAAGATCCCCCGCCGGCTTGCGTCCCACCACGTAGGTCATGGAGTCGGTTCTCGGTCCCAACCACCCGGAAACTGTCACAACGGTCAACCAATTGGCGGTTTTGCTCATGGAGACGGATCAGAGGGGGGAGGCCGAGGCGCTGTTTCAGAGGTAGGTCCCGTGTGGGGGTTCGGTTGGGAGGTGGGAGGGAGAGGTGGGCGGTTTATGACTGGGTTGTTCAGCGGGCCCTGGCGGTGAGGGATCCTCTCCAGCTCACGGGGGGGTCAACACGTTGTCCGTTGTACTTTCCGTCGCCTTCTGTTAGACATCCATCCGTCCATCCATCCATTGAGATTTCAGTCATTCAGCAAACCACCAATGCCGTTGCCCCCCCACACACACACACACCTCGTCGATCTGTCAGCTTCACTCCGTTACATCTTCTCTCCCCCAATAAAATCGCCTCCTCACCTCCCCACTGCATCTCTAATCGTAAAACCCCCCTCTCACCTCTCCTCCTGTGCTCCATCGTACCCCTCACCTCACCTCACCTCACCTCGCTCCCCTGCTCGGGCCCCGGGCTCGCAGGGTGCTCTCCGTAACGGACTCCCTGGACCTGGACACCACCGCCGCCGCACACACCGCCCGCCGCCGCCTCCGCGCCGCCGCCATGGTCGCAATGCGCGGCCGGGCCGAGCTGGCGGTGGCCGCCGGGCGACTGGACGAGGCGGAGGTGCTGTCGTGTCGCGCTCTCGTGCTGTGTGAGAGGGCACTGGGCTCGGTGCACCCGGTCACGTTGGCGTGTGCGGAGGGGCTGGCCGGGGTGCTGCAGCAGCTGGTATGTGGGGGGTTGGAGCGCAGAGGGGGGGGTAGGGGGCCAGAGGGAGGGGGTAGGGGGCCAGAGGGAGATCCGGTGGTGGCGTCATCTTGATAAGCGCACAGTGCACAAAAGCAAAAAGCACAGAGAGAAAGAGACAGAGAAGAGGGAAAGATAACTAGTCAACAGGGGAAGTTTTCACCCGCGGAAAGGGGTTCATCGGTCGTACTGCCGTACGGTACGGCTGCAGGGCTTGCTGGAGGACGCGGGGGAGCTGTACGCACGACTAGTGGAGACCCTTGCGGAGGAGTACGGCGAGGATTCGGAGCAAGTGGTTAAGTACTTGGTGAGCGCCTGGGTCGGCGGGTCTGTGACAGAGGGGTGGAGGGGTGAGGGGTGTTCATGTCCTCCTTACCTTCCTACCTTGGAGCAACGGATGATGAGAACAGGTGGAGAGCTTGGTGGTATGTATGATGCGGGCATACAAATACACAAATACACACCGCCGCCGTTGCTGCCAATAGTGTTTGCTGCTGCTGCTGCTGCTACAGTATGCGCTACCCTTGCTTTGCTATATTTGATGCGGCCCACAGCCAACTAGGGGGTTATTTGCTCAGTTTCCGCTGCCGTTGCTCGCCTCTCTCTCCCCTCCCCCTGCCCGCCAGGCGCTCTATGAGGCGGTCTATTCGCAAGCCTTGGAGCGGGGCCAGCAGCACGAGAAGCGCAAGAAAGGAAGAGGAGTAGGGAAAGGAGAGGGCGCGGATGATGATGATGATGATGGTGGTGGTGGTGGCGATGGTGATGATGGCCAAGACGACGACAAGGAAGAGGAAAAGGAAGAGGAGGACTCAGCTACCGAGTCGCACGCCACCACCACCACCACCGCCACCACCACCCAGCACGTCCGCACCGCCCCGGAGAAGGGGGTCGGCGCCCTCATGACGACGCTGCTGGGGCCGCTGGGGCGAAGCATTACCATGAAGCGACGTGCGGCGGCCGCCAGGGGGCAGCAGTCGCGGAGCTCCGCCGCCACCGCCGCTGACGCTGCCGCCGCCTCCGCCGGCGGCGACGGTGGTGATGACGACCGCGGTGGTGGCGTCCAGGTGTGGCGCCACTCCTTTGCCTCTTTCGTCAAACACAGGGTTCCGGAGCAGCGACAGCCCCAGCCCAAGGAGCAGGAGCAGGCAGTGTACGGCAGCCCCGGGAGTAGCCGAGCTCAGAACGCCGCGGACCGAGTGCATTCGTCTCTGGTGGCGGCGGGGCGCATCGGTTCCGACGGGCCGTTGGGGGACGCGCGGAAGAGCCGCCTAGCGGCGGCGGCGGCGGCGGCGGCAGGGTCCTCTACCGCCGACGGCAAGCCGACGGCGGACGGGGCTGACGGCGGCGAGGGCTCCGTGTCGCCGGGCCTGCCGTGCATGGATCAGCAAGAGGACGCCGCCTGCGGTGCAGCTACCGTCGCATTGGACGCGCCGCCGAGGGTGTACGGCAGCGGCGTGCCGCTGAAGGCGGCGGCTCCTAAAGGCTCCCCAGGTTCTCAGCTCCCGGACGGGGAGGAGGATGTGTACGACCCCACGACGATGCCGCTGATCACTGCAAGTGCATTCGGGTACGGCAGCGTCACACACGGCTACGGCGCTGCCGCTGGAAACCGGTCCATTAGGCCGCATGGCGGTACGGCAGGGCGCCGAAGCTCCGTGGACAGGATCGATGTACGGCGATCTGCGACCAATTCCATGATCCACCCATGGGGCGGCATTTCAAAAAAGGCCTTATTGGAGCAGGTGTGTATGTATGTATAATGTATGTGTAATGTATGTATAATGTATGTATGTATGTATAATGTAATGTTGTTACAGAGTGGGAGGCTTCTGGGCCATTTGAACACATTGTCATTTCGACGATTTATCATACCATTCAACACCATCCACCATTACCACACTGTACTACTCCATACGAACTGGAAGTCCAAGGCGGATGATCCTGCCTTCTAGGATCTCTCCTCATCCATTCACCCGAACAGAGACAGAGGGTTCAGCAATCGCCACCAATCCAGCGTGCATCCATGCATGTGTATGTACGAATGCATGCGGCAGACAATTGGACCGAGTCGAGTAAAGGTGGGGAGCAAATTTACGTAGTGACCGCACCTTTGCTGATATGCTGATGCTGCTGTTCACATGCGTTGCAAGACCACCATATTATAACATTTTGTTGCCTGTTTTGGTTCCCATTCCGCCACTTCACACATCAGGCTAACATCGACCTCGATGATGACGAAGACGTTGGCGACAGCGGCGTCTACGAGTCCCAGGGCGGCGGTGGCGTTCCCGTCCGGCCGCCGCCGCCGCCACCGCCGCCGCCGCCACCCTTGGACTCAGGTCGGGCGTCCCGCCGCGTCAGTGGCGGCTCCGCCGCTGCCGCTGCCGCGGCGGCCACCGCGGCCGATGGAGACGACGATTTTGAAGACACGTCCGCAGTAGGGTGCTGCGGCTTTGGCGGCGGCGGCGGCGCCGGTCGCAGGGTGAGGCCCCTCAGATAGCTGCTAAGTCTCTTGCAGGACCAGAGCACGGCAAATGCCGAGACGGCGTGGTGGCGGCGGCTGCGGCTGAGGCTGCGGGAGGAGGAGGAAGAGGTTAATTTAGTGGCGGGAGGCTCTTGCTCCGCCGTTGTGATTTCACCCGGGGGCGGCGGCGGGGGCGGCGGCGGCGGCGGCTGGAGGTTCCCCCCAGGCACACAAGCCCCTTACAGCTGATCCCTTCTGTTGTGTCCCTTCTGTGTCTGTTCGGGCTTTTGTGCCTTTTTCTTTTCTTTCCTTTCCTCGACATACGTACAAACATACATACGTACATACATACATACGTACATACATGCATGCACGCACGTATACAGCCTGATGTGCGCCCCCAGTAGAAACTGTTACCATCATCAACAGCGGCGACGGTGGGGAGGCTGTGTAAATGCGCAGACTTTGGAATGTATGTATGTCTGTATGTACGCCGGCGTTGATGGATGGCAGCAACAGCGCACACGTGGCGGAAGCGCCCCGTGCTACGACGCAGTGAGCTGCGAGCTCGGGTTAGAGGGATTGTTCACACGAACACCCGCGGCACCCATCGATAGTACCGGCGGCAGGAGCGACGGCGGCAGCAATAATAATAGTATCGGCGTTGGCAGCAGCAGCAGCAACCGCAATGGTAGCGGTAATGGCGGTAGCAGCAGCGGCGGCGGCAGTAGCGGCGGCAGCAGGGTTCGGTGGATGTCGCCTAAGCCCGTGCCGCCCCGGCGCACCGGAACCCCCTCCCTTGACTCCCTCATTCTCCTCCGCCCTGTACGAAGGGAGGGGCAGGGGAGGGTAAAGGAGGGGGGTGACTTCTGCGTGAACGACTCAGCGCACCCGCGGTGACGTGGCGGTGGCGGTGGCGGTGGTGTGACGTACTTGTGCAGCCTCCATCTGGAATGCCTTTCCTATCCAGGAGAGAATCGCTCCTTTGCACATACATACAGTATGTATATACATTTATGTGTACTTACGAGGATAGTGGGTGTACATGTGTTTATAAACAAGAGTATTATTACACCGTATTATTATTGTTACCATACCGCAATGTTATTTTTGGCTGTTGGTTTGCGAGCAAGTGACGTTGCGGGATGGACCCATATATATGTGTGTGGTGGGGGGGGGAGGGTGTCGGGTTGTGTGAGGAGAGAAACGCATGTTGGTGACACGTTGGGGGCTAAGCCCACCAGGACATCAATATCGAATTGTCAGACCTGCGTATGGAGATCAGATGTTGTTGCAGGGATGCTGGCGCTGGTTTGGTGGTAAAAATGGTGGAGGTGGTTATGGTGGAGGTGGTGGAGGTAGTCCTTAGGCAATTACAGCTCGGGGCGGGCAGTTACCCTCCACTCCAGGGGGGAATGGGGGGTGGGGGGTAAAAAGAAGGGGTTTCGGGGGATGTGAGTGAGCGAGCGGAAGTGCGAGGTGGGGAGGTAGAAGCAATGAAGGACACGTCGGGGGGGGGACTTGGGGGATAAAGACTCTCCGCCAGCCCCCCTCCCACTTTCCGGCTAACCTGCCAGCACCCCACTCGAGTGGATTGCCCCCCCGGGAGCAACCTCCGATCAAACCGCCCCGCGGCAGTGAGATGCGGCCCCATGGCGGTTGGTGTGTGTGGACAAGGGCGGGGTGGGGGCGGGGGCGGGGTGGGGGATGGAAAGTACGTCGGGGAGCTAGCGGGTGAAAATAGGGTACGGCAGGCGGGGTGGGACGAGATGACGACGGGTCATGAGAGGTAAGTACGACGGAGAGGAGGGGCCATGTGCGGATGTGCGGATGTCCCAGGGGACCGGGGGAAGGCTCCTCCTCCTCCGGCCCCGGCGACGGCGACGGCGACGGCGGCGGCGGTTCTGACATATGTATGTATGTATGTATGTAAGATTTTGATGCATTTTTATTTGGCTTCCGGGGCCCGAAAACTAATTGTGACACGGATAGCTGCCCCTGACCGCGCGGCACCCAGAAGGCCCCGGTGCTCCGCCCCTAGTAGCAGCTGGGAGGTGTCGGGGAGGCCGGCAGCGGGTGCGGGGATGGTGAGGTGGCTTTGGCGAGTTGGTGGCGGGGGCGCTGGTGGTGGCGGGGGCGGGTGACCCCGAGTACATGGAGTGCCGCCTCCGCTACGTACCCACCCACCTACCTACCTGCCTACCTGCATAACTACCTACAACCACCTATTTAGCTACCTAACTAACAACCTAACCAACACCCTAACTAGCTGTATCTACCTAACTACCTCCATAGCTCGGTCCGCATGGTCCTGTTTGTCAGCCCTGATTCGCCGGTGCTAGCATGGTGCTGTCGCCCGCCTGCGGTTTAGAGGTAATAGAGCGAAACGGTAATAACGGTACCGAAATTTTATTGTTGTGGGTTATCGCGGATCGTGTTGTTGGGGCCCAGCGCGGGTTGGGTGGCAGCGAGGGCCGTGCCGCCTGGCGGCCCCGGGTACCGCTGGCACCGCTGCCAGCCGGCGTGTCATGCACACGATGCACACGACCTAGGGGGAGGGCCAGGTCGGTCCATCCGGCCGCCCACATCTGGTTCTTGCCTGCTTTCGCGGGTGTTCACGTCGTTAATATCGAAAAACGTTTTCGGCTTGGTGCTGCCGACAGATGGGGTTCAGTGGCACGGAGCGTGGTGCCTGAAAGCAGCTTGCGCGCCTAGTCTTGGGAGATTCTATCTATGATACGGCAAAATGGGGTTAGGCGATAACGGTTTCGGAGGCAGAGAGGCCGTGGACATGAGGGCGTGGAGATGGACTCCTCCTGTGCGGTCTTTTGTTACAAGACGTCAACACTTAATAAATATACTTACACCTAGTTGAGGGCTGATGGGGATGACCCACGGGTCGTAAAGCTCTGATCCCGGGCGTGAGCGCCGCAGGATGAGGTTCCGGTGGGCGGCTGCTGCAGCTGCTGGAATGCACGATAGAGCCACTTGTAACTGAGGGTAGGTCGTACGAAGGAAGCAGTACGGCTTGCTGTACGGTTGCGTTCGAGGTGCCGGATAGGACAGGGCGAGGCGGAACCGGGGTTGCCAAGGGCCTTACACTACTGCAGACAGAAAAGATAGCAGGAGGGGCCCTCTGACTCAGGCGAGGCCCAGGTTGCGCGTGGTTTCCAGTGCAGCATCGTCTTCCAGCCGGGTATAAAGCTGCACCATTGCGTCCGTCTTCCAGCGACCTTGCGGGCCTCTTCAGATACCCCTCTGGCTGCTGCCGCGCTGTTTCCCCCGATGCGCATGGAGTGTGGCAGATTCCGCGCTTGATGCCCACGGCGCTGCACATGGCAGCAAGCTTCTCCCGGAAAGAGGTGTAGCTGAGGCTGCTGATAGGTGACTGAACAGAGCCGGCCATCTGCTACAGCTGGTGGCCTGGCTGTGTCGCATTAACCCTGTTTGCGCAGCAGCGGACCCACATCCTCCGGGGGGGTAACTGGGGACACGGACATAGTTACCAAGCGCCAGCAGCCTCTCTTCCTGTCAAGCCCACTGGGCAAGCCACGCCCCCCACGCGCGCGATCCGGATGGTCTGCCCTTTGCCCTCCTGGTCCGTTTTGGACCTCGGCAGTGTAATGGCCATGTGAGTGTCGTGCAGGGTGAGCAGGTCGGACTTGACGGAGATGTGGGCTAAGGGGCCAAGGGCCTTAAACTAATGCAGTACTATTGCTGCTCTCGGAGCGCCAGGGCGCGTGTGCGCCGAAGCGCGGTCTAGCGCCACACGGCGCGGTCTGAGTGCACGCAGCGCTGTCCAGCGCGGCCACACCGGCACGGCCGGAAGAACTGACACACAGCACTAGACGACTAAACGCAGATTAATGACTGCATCCGCTTGTCACCCGCCCCGAGGGCAAACCTGAAGCGTCAGCGACGCACGAACCGCACCCTGGCCAGCGGGGCTGGCCAGGCGACATTCCTAGCGCGCAGCGATACCCTAAAGGCGCTTTTGGCCGTGCGGTAATCGCTGTACAGCTGTGCGTCTGGCGCTCCGAGTGGACTGCCCAATCACCACCAGGTCTCCAACCGGGCCGAGCCTGCCGCTTGTAAACGAGGGACACTGAGGGCGGGGGGGAGGGAAGTGAGAGCAAAATAATGAGCTCCAATAGTGTATGCAGAATGCCGGAACTATGGAGCTGTCAGCTGAAATAGTAGATTCGAATTTCTCAGCAAGCCATACGGCTGCCGTACATAACTTAGCTTAGAGGCATTCGCTTTGCTCCTGTCGCATCTAAGCTACAAACTGTGACACCGGACTGGTCGGACGGCCCGCGGATGGTAAGCGCCCAGGAGTAAACCTGGAACGTTGAAGGTATTCGAGTATGCAGGTAAGGTGAGGACGATTGTACGGCACAGCACGCAAGTCGCAGCTCCAAAGGCAAACAGCTCCAAATGCAGATCAAGCGCCTCCATACTCGAGTGAAGAGTAAGGAAAATGGTACGACATCTGTTTAGCTAAGTCAAATCGAGCTTTATGCTTTCTGTTTGCAAAGCAGGTCAATTCGCCCGACACTCAGGCTAACGGTATTGTTTCTTTTTGTTTCGTTTTAACTAAGCCACTGGTCCACCTTTAGTTCTGACCTCTTCATGCTGCAAGGCTTCGTGACTTTTTTGTTTCGTCCAACCACTGGCAAATAAGCTGAATTGTTCAGCCGTCCATATCATACTCAGGCAACCTGGCTACCTGAGATTGCATATTCACTATGCACAATCCTGCCTAACAAGTTCGACCTGGGATGATGGATTGCCCTGCATAACAACGGCAGGCTCTCCACCAAGAACTGTCCTGACCTTAGACATTACAATAAACAACTTAAGTATAATAAAGGGTCAAATTTGAGCTTTTCACCTGGAATGGATGGCAGCGGCTATGCTTCTGGGTACGGTCCGCCGCGGTGGCCCTACCCAGCCGGCGGCGGTCAAGCAACGTACCCGAGCTCAGGCGGCATCAACCCATACGGTATGGCCTACAGCGGGCCCGCAGTGCCCGTGTCGGCCGCCCTGGTCCCCGCTGGCGTCGCGCACTATGGTGCCGTGCCACAGTACGACACCCACGGTTATGGCTATTCCATGGGAGCCTGGAGCCATTCCCCTGGAGCAGATGACCCTCAGGCGTACGATGCGTCCTGGTACCAGGGTGGGTTTGGTGCCTGGAGGACGGGCGAGCAGGGATGGAGCGACATCCCTGCTGTGCGGTTGTGCGTGTGCGTGTCCCCGCAGGTTTTTACAGGGGCTATGAAGGGGAGCATGGGGAGGATCACGAGGATCAGACTCTGGATGAGTACGGCGATCTGCCCGAAGCGGAAGACGAAGAGGCGGGTAATGAGGACGACGGGGACGAGGAGGAGTACGACGAAGAGGCTCCTGAGCTGGGCCCGGAAGGCAACTATGACGCCAATGTAGCGAGCAGCATAGGCGCGGGTGACTGCTCAGCGAGAGCCATGGCCAGCGGCGCAGACGGCGCTTGGGGCGGCAAGGAAAGGGGCGGCAGCGCGGCCGGCTCAGTCCCATGGCTTGCGGCGGCGGCTGCGGCTGCGGTGACAGGCAAATCGACAGGAAATGCAGCGGCGGTGGTGACGACGGCGGTGGGAGCTGCGGCGACTGCGGCGACGAAGACCGAGAGCTCCCATCGCCTGAACCCCGGTGCGCCCACTTTCCTGAACCCCGGCGCGAAGACGTTCCTGCCACACAGCAAGGTCGCCGGCGCTGCCAGTGCACCCACCGCTGCCGCTGCGGCAAGCAGCAGGATACCGGTGGTGGCGGCGGCGGCGGCGGCGCAGGTGGCCGCCAAGCCATCTCCGGTCGGTGATACCGCCGCCGCCGGCAGTGCCGTCGCAGGGTCGGATGTACCGGGTGGTGGTGGGGGTGGTGGTGGTGGGGGTGGCAGGCAACTGCAGCCGGACCGCGGCGACACAGCGCCGCCCGAGGACACAGAGGCACAGAGTCCCGGAGCCCTTTGCCCCGGAAGTGGAGATGGAAGGGCTGCAGTGGCGGGGAGCGCCCTCCGTGTCGATGTCTCAGCCAAGAATGGCAACGAGGCAGCAGAAGCAGCCGCAACCTCCGAAACTTCCGAACACGGCCGAAAGCAGCTGCTTCAGCAGGCAGGGGAGGCGTTGACGGCGCCATTGCCCCACCAGTCGAGGGGTGCTGGAAACCCTGGTGAGGTGGTGAGGTGATGTGTGTGTGTGTGGTGTGGTGGTAGGGGTCATGGTGACAGTTGCTAGGTGGGGACCCGGTACGGGCCGTATTTGTGATACAACTCTCTCTCTCTCTCTCTGTCTTCTGCGCCTGTTTAACCTGCCAGACTGGATTTTGACGGGGAGGATTGTTGGAATCACGGTCCGCGCTTTTGTGGTGCAGAGTCGTCATCGAGTCCGAGCACAGCCGTGGTGCTGCAGGGGATCGCGGCTACGGAGGAGGAGGAGGAGGAGGAGACTCGTGGGCCAGGGGGACGGGCCGAGGCGCCCCCGGCTGCAGCACATACTGCTACTGCTGCAGATACTGCTACTGCTAAGGAGGTGATGACGTCTTCTAGGGGAGCAACGGCGACGGAGGCGGCGCGCGAAGTCGATCAGCTGGCGGGCGACACTCGAGCGCTGACCATGTCGGACTTGAAGCCCACCTCCACACCCTTCCGGTGCTTCATTACCGGACTATTCAGGTGTGTGTGGGGGGCCCGTGTGTGGGTGTGTGTGTGGGGGGGAGAAGCGCTTTGGTTGTCTATCGACACGTTGTTAGCCCATTGACCTGAATACCACACAAACCAGTACTTTAGAAGAACTGAAAACGGATGCTAGCTCAGCATTCTGACAGTCCGCAGTGCTTATCACAGCAGAAGAAGGTAAAGAAGGGGAGGGGATATTACCCAGCTGGGTTGGGCGTAACTTTGTCAGCAATTGAAGAAAGCGCAGCTGCTTGCTTATTGATTGTGGACTGTACGGTTGGTCGCTGTCCCAGGGTGCATTTTTTAGATCATAGCGTTAGGGTTACGCCATCCTACGTGTTTTTGCGGATGCTTTCTCTGATTCCACCATCGCCTCTCCAGGCTCGTACTCTTGCGCACTAACGACATATGAAGTTCGTTGTACGGCGTGCTGCAAATGTGCTGTACTCCCGTACAGCCTGTTTCAGGGCCCAAGCGGGGAGTACGGCATGGACTCGTTGTGGTGGTGCCTGAACACTCGGAGGGCCCCGGGTGCTGCGGCGCGGGATAGCGGTGACAAGCCTGCTTCAAGCTGCTCGGCTGCGTCGCAGTCATCCTCATTGCAAACGTTTTCCCATGAAGAACGGCAACAAGAACAACAAGAACAGCAGCATCCTGATCCGGACGCGCGAATACTAGGGCCGTACAGCTGCGAGCAGATGATTCTGGCGCACATCGCGCAGGTCCGCAGACACGGCGGCATGTGCGCTTTGTGCCGCTGCACCCGGAATGCGCTGCGCGCTGCCCTATCGAGGCGCCTATCGAGTAGTGCAGACATCGTAGTGCCGCTTACCCTTTTTATCAACACCGAGTTCGAAACTGGTCTGGGGAGTTATTGTTATCTATCGTTCCCTGCCGTGTGCCCGTGTGGGCTGCTTGTGTCGCTGTTTCGCTGTTCCGGTAAAGTTCATTAAGTAGTCAGTTATGTCGGTCCCGTCGCCGTTTCTCCCGTCGCGATTTCTCCCCTCGGCCCTCTCCTATGCCGCAACAGTTCCTGGGCGCTCCGGGTAGTTGGTTCCCAAACCTCATTCGGGACAGCATTCGGGTCCATCGGTGCCATTTCCGGGAGCCTTGCTGCAGCTGTTCCTCCGTATCCTTGTTGCAAACAACATCCCCTCCCTCCCTCGCCGCCTCCTCTGTCATCACCCTCGGGGTCTCATTCGCCCTCCGCTCCCATTCCCCGCCGATCCAACCGTGTGCTGTCCGGCTTCCCCCTGGCATCCATCGCGGTTTGCAGGCGCTGCCCCCCAACCTGCCGGTTTGCGGCACGAGAGGCCCCAGCCCGCCGCACTCACTGCCCCCCGTGGACGCGTTTCAGCCCCTGGACTCCCTTCTGGTTGCAGCGGAGGCGGGACAGCCTTATCAGCTGCTGCAGTTGCCGCCCCGGTCCCTGCCGTCGTCTTCTGTGACCCCCTCCTGATGGGGCTGACGGGTGGTCTGCAGTGGAGGGGGGGAGAAGGGGGCTACCGTGGCGGACAGGCAGGAGCACCGGACTGCACCGGACTGCAGCCCGAATGGAGTGTGCCTTGTTCGCGCGAGTGTATGCGATGCGCCTCATCACGTGCTTCAGGAATCGCTAGTGCTGGCCCAGTGTTTCAGCGCGTTAGGGAAGTTGTACGACATGCTAAGATGGTAGCTGTAGCTGTGGTAGCTATAGAGCTGTAGTGGCTATAGAGCTGTAGTCAAGAGCCTCGAAAGGCAGTATTGCTCTGGAAGTAAAAATCAGAGGTGTACAGGCTTTGTACCTACAGGCTATTACACCTTTCAAGGGCGCAGAGCTGCCTTTTCTTGCGCCCTGTCCGCGGTTGAAGGAGTGAAGGGGACGTAGGACGCCGGTGGGGTTGGGGCCCGCAGGAGACCTCGCTCAGGGTTCAACACAGTACTGTGGGGAGGAGGAGAGGTCCGTAGACATCGCGTGGACTGTGGGTGCGTCGTCTGTCGGTTCGTTTTATCACGGCTGCTGACCAGTTACTGCACATCGGTCTCCATGGCCCCTTGTTGTATCATAAATGTCTTCCACCGTTGGGGCCGCCAACTACATCCCGCTCCCAGACAGTGGATTCGCGGTCTACCAATGCCCCTGCACCTGGTCTTACAGCAATTTCCGGCAGCGGGCACAGCGGTACAACAACCTTCACAAGATGAGGCTCAGACCTCGGCTTACACTAGTACACGGGCTAAGTACGTGCGTGACCTCGCATTTCAAGCTTAAGGGCGCAACATGTGCACGATTATGACCGAGGCCCCACCCCTGGCACTAGCCAGATTCCTCTCGGAACTCTGGGAGACCCGGCACGTTGCTCTAAGGCGCGTCGTACTCAAGCGGACGAGGGAGGACGATGATGGTCCACCACGTAACCACACTAAAACGATTTACCGTCCATGGGCCCCTCGGCTTTTACGGACACCCCCGCACTTGTGCGGAACTTGTAACTTGTTAGTGACCAAGTGGTTACTGTATGTGAAGGTATATATAGGTAACCCACTTTTAAATTCACTGGGTCGGGTCAGACCCAGTCACCATCCGCACACCTTGACCAGTCCGGCAGCCGACATACCGACATACATGTGCGTCGAAACACATACTTTCCCTCAGGGAAACGTCCTGAGGTTGCGGCGTCGCAAAAACATAGCATGTGGTCTGGATCGAACACACGACCGGTTTCCCTAGCCACCAGTGCTCAGGTGCAGTGTGTTTATATGTGCCCTCGCTTGCCAAGGCCTATTGTATTGTATCGTAAAGCTGAAACCTAAAACCCGGCAACTAAAGGAGACGGGAGAAAAGCACTGACTGGAAAGAAGCACCGGCAAACATGCGTTAAACATGCATCCACGCATGCGCACGCGCACACACATACAAATGTATGTACTCGCTGCCGACCCTACCCACTTTTCAACACGCAAGCCTCGGCTCCTGCGCCTCGTCCCCCTTACCGACACCGACAAGCTTTCGGGTCCGTCCTCGTCGACAGGAGTGTGGCGACGAGGACGGCCGGGAGAGCCGACAGAAGCCGAATAAGAACAGGTCTGGGGCTTGCTTTCTGCTTCCGTCCATTTCTCCCCCGGATACAAGATACCCCCCGCGGCACAGGACAAGGACCATGTCCACATCACCACACCGGCCTAAACTTTGATAGCGACCCACGGGTCGCTGGTGGTGCAAGCGGCCCCACTAACCCGATGGTACTCCCCGGTTACCGGTTGGGAGTCGCCGAACACACTGCTTTGCAGAAAGCAATCGGTGTTACTTACGACATGGAAAAATCTGACATGCTTCCCAGAACATGTGAGCACCAGCATGCCGTTCGCTCGTGACAAAGCTCGTCTTTCAGGCTAAAGGGTTTCTGACGGAAGCATGCTTCGAGACATCCTGGCTCGCAACAATTACCCTTCCTTTCAGTTCATTTCTTTTCCTCGCAGGAACCCAGATCGCAGGAGTGAGAAATAAACCCAAATCACAGCCAGCAGTCCGAAGGAGGATGGAGGAGAATGCGATTTTTCAGCTTTCTTCAGCAGCAAGAAACTCCAAAATGCCAACAACGACGCCGCCATCGCGAGTGCCTATCGATACCTGACACCACAGACACATCAGGGCTCTGCTTTCCCACCCAGAGTAGTACTGTGTACTCGACCCGTTCCGCCGGCCATCCTGGTGCCATGTCGTGCAATCGGGGGCTCCTCCGCATCCAGTTGCCCAACCCAGGCTTTCTCACGGCTTGCGTGCCAGCACCGCGTCCAGGTAACTCCCCGTCTTGCGTGCCTTCACATCCACAAAGCCAGCAGCCCCCAGCAGCTCCTCGTACTCGGCGGCGCTGCGCTCCCGGCCGTGAGTCTGGCACAACATATTGAGATCCTGAACAGCACACACTGGGCTCGAGTTAGCACGAGGAGGAGGACATGCGCGAGGGGGAAATGCGCCCCGATGAGGGCCACGCGGGCCGATGAGGGCATCTCAATGGAAAATATCATGCAGCCGGAATCCATAACATGTACAGCCCCCCATTCAGAACATCAAGTGGCAGCGGGCCACAGCGGGCAGAGCGAATCGCTCCTCCTGTCACAAGTCATCCGTCGGCCGATCTTCTTCTCACGGCTCAGCTATATTTAAAAGGTGCACTAAACGTACACGTACGTCATACCATGCCACATGACCATAGCACGATGCTTCACCTCAAGTCACGCACTGTATGCGAACGAACCTGCAGCAGCACCGGCAGAGGTCCCATTCTGTCGGACTCCAGCAGCATCTCCGCCACCAGCAATGCCCCCCCCGGTCGCAGCAGCCGGTGGCTCAGCGCTAGCAGCTGCTGGCAGCGTGGCAGGTCCCAGTCATGCAGGATGCGGGACAGCACCACCACATCAACCTGGCTAGCTAGGAATGGGGCGGGAATGGGTTGGGGTGTCGATATCGGGGGTACGGAGTAGTGGAGGGCGGCGGCGGTAGGTGGACACAAGGGCGCGGTAAGGACAATATACATTCACAAATCAGCACGCTTACTCATGACTGGTTCATGGCTGGTTTTGTGGCTTTGTCGCCTCGAGCAAACAGACGAGGATAAATATATGACGATCGTTATACATTTCAGACACCAGCAGGGCACACACACATACACACATACACACAGGCAGCCACACAACCTGCTGCGGCAACTTGTCCTGCTCGGTGAAGAAATCCGCAGCCAGCCAGCTCAGCCGGCCATCGCACGGGCCACCCGGCGGCGGCGCGAAATTCGCGCGCGCGTCCGCCACCACATGCGGCAGGTCCACTACCACAGCTGAATGCAGCCCCGGGTACGATTCGCACGCGGAGCGCGCGATTGCGCCCGTCGCCCCGCCTAGGTCCACCAAGCTGGTCGCGAAGGACAGGTCAAAGGCGGTAACCACCGATGGCGCCGACAGAGTGGCGAAGGAATGCATTCCACTAAGGAAGCGCAGCACGTCCGCGGGTGTGGAGTAGATCCGCGCGAAGACGTCGGAGCCGGGCTGGCCAAAGATCTGCTGCCATACCTGGCTGCCGGAGGCGACGGCGGAGGACAGCCCGCCGAATAGAGGCCATACGACCTGGACGGGGGATAGAGAAAGGGCTAAAGGTGCGGAATACGTGCAGAAGCGCATGGGCAGGGGGATAAAGTACGAGAGGACGTCACCCTCGTTATGAAACAACTTGGCCTTCTCTGGCCTCCCAAACAAATGCAAAGCCAACCACCCCACGCATCACCTTCCCTTCGTGCACCAATAGACTCATCACTGCACAACAATCTGTGCTGGATCGCATCTTCCTTCCGTACCCGTGCGGAGTGTGTGCAGTAGCCAACAAGTGATGTAGAGGAGCTCGTCACCAGATAGTTCTCCGCGAGCGGGGTTAAAGAGTATAGACCAGGTGACGGTGTTTCGAGGAGGCCAAGCGCTACACATGTGCGGCAAAGCCGATCCAGGCCATCCTCCGAGACTCTTTGGCCCCGACGGCAAGCCACGCCTTCGCAAATCAGTTGCAACGATAAAGGTGAATTCGATGTTTTAAGGATTTCAAAGATCGCTAAATCGACAGCAGCGAAAAGCGCTTGTGACGATCGAAAGGCGTTCAGTAATCCCAGGACTGGCGCTGGATCGGGCGTAATACCACCCATATTTGCAGAAGATTGCAAAGGATTAGTGGAGGAACAACGGAGCTATTAAGTCGTCCGATAGAGAGTTTTGAAGGCTAACTGTGGCTAACGGACCATACCCACCGCAATCGGACAACAACTAGTTGTACGACAGACACAGAAGAGTGATAACCGGAACGAAGCAGAACCTAACACCACCTAGATGTAATAGCGATAACCCGAGATAACATTTACTAGCGAAACAAGGCTAGGGAATTCAAATAGAAATCCGGCCGGAGGATGGGTTGGAGGGCCAGAGGGGAGTTGCGCTAGTCAGGGGGGGAGCAGCAGTTGGGAACCAGGGCCGGGGGAGTTGAGAGGGAGGCCGGCTTGGAGGGCCGGGGTAGGAGTAGCAAGGGGATAGGCCGGGCGGGAAGTTTGGGGACGAGTAGCTGTTAGGGGATCGGTCAGGGACGGCTCGGAGGGCTGGAGGGGGGAAGTACTGTTGGAAAGTAGCCGACACTCACATATCAGTGAATGGTGACAGCAGTTATGGGACCCGTGGGGGGTCCGTGGCACGTTGCGGAGTCTAACAAGTGCACCCCGCAGGGGGGAAGGGGGCGGCCGTGAACGGCTTGGAGGGCCGAGATCGCACAGGCGGCTACCTAAGAAAAGCTCGGAGGGCCGCTGGCAGGAGGGAACCGGCTAAGGGGCCCAGCGATGGGAGCGGCTCGGAGGGACTCGAAGTCCGAATGGTACAGCGGGTGATTTTATCCCCCGTTTTAGACCGGGAAACCGGCGCTAAACTGGGGACAGGAGACCCTGGGGGGCCGCGGGGAGCACGTTAGGGAGAAGGGGTCTGGGTGCGGAGGGCCACGAGTGAGGTAGGGACTCAAGGGGAGGCCGGAGATAGGCGGGGCGAAAGCCACGGCGACGGAAAAAAACGTAAAGAAAAGGGGGAAACTAAATAATGTTACTGTAGCTAGGCCTGAAATGGGCCGAGAGGGCCGTGGGAATGGCACCCGGGGGTATTCAGGGAAGCAGGGCAACAGGGTCTCCCTGTGTGTACAGACCGACTCTTGATCGACAGAATGAGCTGCGGTACCGGACGCGCAGCCATGGGGGGAAAGGACTGTGGCCCCTAGCGAGCCGCGGCCCGATTGACAGGGAGGGGCTGGAGCAGCGGCAGCTGCCGCCAGGACCGAGCGGGGCACAGCAGCAGCAGCAGTCCCGGCCGCTGATGCTCCGCGGAGGTGCTGCAACCAGCGCCGACACTGCTGGGGCCGGCAGATCCCGGCAGATGCCTTCGCTAGCCGAGGCCCTTATAAGAAGTGTCCCGAGGTAATAAATAGATCCCGGCCGACTCGTTCCGCGTGTACACCTCAAGGCGGGCACCAGGGGTCCTCCTGGCCCTCAACGCCCCTTCCTGCAGCTGCCTGAGGAAATGGTCTGCCAGTGCAGCCTCCTGCACTCCTGTGAATTGTACACCCCAGGTTAGACTTAGGAGCATCCCAACCCCTGCTCCCAATCCCATTGTTGCAGAAACACCATGCTGCATGGCTGGCCCCTCGAACCCCAAGTGGGCAGCAGCACCCCCATCCCCCAGCTGCAGGGTGCTGCCCCCATCACAGGCTCTCCCCAGTCCTCCTGGCTCCTCCAGGGGTCCCCATGTCCCAACGTCTGTCCTCCGCTCCCACCGCTCACTGTGCCAGTGGTGTTGCCTCCATCTCCTTGTTCTGGGCTGCCACAAGTTGGGGGGCTCCCAAACCTCACTGCCGTGTCCCCACGGGCCCCCACCTTACTGCGGGTGAGGCCCCCGCCCACGGGCCATGAGCCTCAGGGAGCCCCCGATGATCTTCCTCTGATCTATGTATGATAGAGAAAGGGTTGATATGCATCTCTCTCTCTCTCTTTCTCTCAAATTTCTAAAAATAATCTCCCATATCACCGTTTTCCTCTCTTCCTCTTTCTCTCCCACTGCCTCTCGCACCCCCCGCCTCCCCAATCTCTTCGAAAGAAGATTCCACAATCCCGTGCTAACGCACAAAGCAACAACTCTTGGTCCCACGCTTGCCGTACTGCCGTTGGAGGTGATACTAGATGCCAGCACCTTTGATGTCGCCTGGTTGGAATCAACGTTCCGGGAGCAGCAGGTGTGCGTGGTGGTGCGGTGGCATTGGGGCCACTGACGGGGTTGCTGATGACTACGCTGATGCCCGTGTGCTGCCGGTGCCGGTGGTGGTGGAGCTGGAGCTGATGGGTTTCAAAGCTCACTTCAGTGCGTGTGTCCCGGTCCGGTGCAACATGTTGTTGTTGTTGTTGTTGTTGTTGTCTGGACGCGATGTGCGCCCGGTTGTGTCTCCGTGGTGGTAGGAGAAGAGACCTGAGACCTGTGTAGCTCCCCCCGGTACACCTCTCCTACTCCGGAGACCCCTTGAAGGCTGCAGGCATCTCGGCCCGCCCCGAGGAGCTAGAGTTCCCAGGGTTTCAGCAAGGGGGGGTCCAGGCGTCAACCCATCGTCCAACATCGTGACCCTGATCAGGCATTTTCGCCCCGTCCACAATTTCTTCTGTGAATGTTATCCGACGTTGAATGTATCCGGTGCGCCCTAGAGCTCTGATTATGCGCACCCATAGAGACGTAGCAGCTCCAGGGCAACCCAGGGCTATGTGGGTGTATATCAGCTCGAAGCCTTACTTTGCATATCAGCGCGCATATGCGTTCGAACGCTGTTATTGTTGAACACTAGTTGAACAGAAAGAGGTGCGTGCAGAGAGGAGATTTTCCTGTTTTGCTTTCATACCTTCACGCCATATAGGACGCATTATCCCCCGCGCTCTTTTGTCATGGAACGCGTGGCTCATTCAACTTCATATGTACCAACATATGTGGTGACGTGTGTAGTAAGGACGTTCCGGACATCCATTCCAAGACGCTCAAGTCTTAAAAATAGTTGCGAAGCATTAAATGATGATGCGTTAACGTGTACGACGGAAATAGACAGACAGCGCGGGCAACCCCGCCTATCTGCCTCTATCGCAACCCCGCCAGGCCACAGCAGCAAATGCCTTCCCCCGCCCGCCCGCCAAAGCCAAAGTCCCGATAGAGGAGGAAAAACAAATGACATGACAATACCCGATGAGGAGGAAGAGGAAGGAACCAGCAGGCCGCTTTGGGCCCATATATGAAGAGTAACCTGCAGACCTTCGGCCAATTCGGCTCGGAGGTCTTTTCAGAAAACCCTAAACACATGTACGGGACAACGGTTCCTCCTCTTTCACATTTTGCCATCAACTGATGCGGTTCCGTGGCGAAAGGTGTCTCAGTCCTCCTTCGTCAAAACGTTCCGACAAAACATCTGAAATCCGCCGACAACGGGCAACAGAATACTATCGTAACAACACATGCTCTGCACAACATTTTATGAATCCGCGAAAAGATGCCAACCCTCTTCCTCTTCTTCACCTCCGCGTCCAGCCGCGAAAACAAAGGCGGATTTGACCCAACCATGGACCCAACGAGGCAAAAACTATCATCATCCAACAAAGTTCGATCAAAGTCATTCCTTATCCAATTACAACCAACAACAGCAACGCAACCGATTTCCCGGTCCTGTAACGCCACACAGTCCGCACGCGCGGTGCGGTGCATAAAAGTTGTAGCACACATCAAGTTGCCGTACAAAATGCTTGATGCAGTGGCGACTGATGGGCCCTACACGTTCGCAAACACAAAACACAATTCCCGGCTTATATCAAAAACAGGGGCCCAGCCCAGCGGGGCTAGCACCTGAGATGCGACTAACAACACAAACAAACGCAGAGAGGGTCACACCGTAGCGGCCTCGCTGTACCTCAACCGCTCGTGCCGAGCCAAGAGTGGCGGTGGGAGCCCGAGCTGGTGCCTGACCGTGATGCCGCCAAGGGCCCTTTGCAGCGACTGTATGAAGGGGGGATAAGCAAGAGCAAGTCATGGGCGGCAACTCCCACAGAACATCCCCAGCTGTTCGGCGACAAGGCATTGGCTCTGTCGTACAAGCAGCCGTACAGTGAACCGAACCCGCACGCGTGCGTGTGAAGAGATGCAATTGTATCATGTACGAATGAACGACAGATCGAACACAGGCGACGTGTCTGTAGCCCAAACCTGCACCAGTCAAGGTGCTATTTGCGCAACCACCACCCATACACGACCGCCAGACATTGCCGTACTGCCAAATGTACTAGATTAGTCAAAATACTGCAGAGCGACATGGCAGCAACGTCGGCATTTGCATCAACCAAAACAGCAATCCAACCTCATGACGAAATGTCTTTTTCGAAAACTGCACATGCTAAAGATCTAATGGGGGCAGAGACGGGAAAGGGAACTGCAGAACGGGAGAGCCCAGTGGAACGACCTGACACACCACAAACTCAACCACGAACACCAACACAGTTCCACAGACTCGCGAAGTCGAAAACTCCCGTCGCCGCTCGCCGCACATTCTCACCACACACACGAAGAAAAAAGCAAAAAGAACACGGACACCGTTGACGCAGACACACACAGTTTTCTTGCTCGACTCCACAGCAGACGGACGGACGCACAGACATACAACAGACATACATACTCTTTTACTTTTGCTATACGCTGTGTACACCCACAGGACTGGGCCCTATAGACCTAACGACGACAATCCGACCTACTCGTATGCCCAGCAAGATAAGGCATCCGTGCAACCCGCCGCTTCTAGCATCTTCAGCGCATACGTTTGCAGCGCAGTCATCTTCAGCTGCCCCTGCCCTGCAAAAGTTCGTATTTAAGCTACTACGTATTCCAAAACAACTCAGCAGCTCCCCCGGCAACAAAATCCATTTTCAGTTAAGGGCACGTACAGTGCCAATGCCCCAATGGAGTCGATGCAGTCCCAACCAACTGACAACCGGCTGCACCAAGAGAGAGCGATTGCGCCTAGCCCGACAACACTCTTTTAAGGCAAATCATCACCACACTACCTCCGGGGGATCCGTGCAGGCGGGCAGGTCAAGTGACCCGGAGTATGATGACCCACTGGCGGTTTCCGACCCACCTCCCCACACGCAATGCACCAACAGACGCAGCGTACAGCTTGCCTCCAGCTTTTTATGCCGTACCCAGGCTTTCTGAAAACCTCGTTACACACACATGTGTGAACGTATGTGGAGGCCAGAAGAAAACAAAACGGGGTGAGGTGACATGACATATGCGTCAAGAGTAAAGAAACCAACTGACACTGCAACTGACTGACTGACTGACTGACGGGGGGGGATGCGCGGGTTGGAGCCGCTATGGAGTCGGGTGCTTAGTTTTTGGAGGTAGACATAACCCAAATTTTCGCAGTTTGCTCCAATACCGGTCGACCTTTTTCATGTGTCTGTGACGCGCCACATTCTGCATACTTAAAAGTGCGCGTCAGACAGTACTTGAGGGAAGATATCCTCGCGAATTTGCCCGGTAGCTAAACCTCTCAGCATGCACTCGTGTGTGCCGACTTGACTCATCCTCCCTTGGCGGCTTGGAAGCTGCTCCACGCAAGGAACATCTAACTTGACTGCGCATGAATGAACCTCCTCGAGAAAGACAACGCACACAAACGCCCTACAATGCTCTGCTGCTTTCTCCAAACACTGTTGGCGTCACGACCTCTCTCTGACCTCTGATCTACTGCCTCGCCGCCGCCCATCGCGAAAGCACGCTGCACATGCTGCGCCAGGGGGGCAGGTAGTTTCCGGTCGCCTCAAAGCTGAACTTCATCTCCGCGCAAATCAGCTTTACCATTTCCTGTATCTTGCTGTACGGAGCAACAAGCTCCTCAGGGACAGCATCCAGGAGCTGGCGGTAACGCTCCGTCGCATACATGGAACCGATGCAGAAGTGCTCCCGGAAATCGGGCTCCACCACCAGCGATGCCAAGCAACCCCCGCAGCCTTTCACAATTACGAAGTCATGGGCCAGCCGCAGCGAGCTTGATATCGAGTTCGATGCGTTTTGTGCGACGTGCGTTGCATCATAGCCCACGTCCCTCAGCCGCTGCGCAAGCGTGGCGGCATCGGCCGCCTGCCCTTGGCGCTTGAGGATGCGGACGTCATTAAGGAGCTGCGGCCAGATAAATTTATGGACAAATTGTCAGGAGCAACGGAATAAGCTTTTTTTTGCGCTGCTACACACGTTCTCCGCAAGACAGCAAACGAGCCACGCACGACAATGCAGCTTCAGAGCAACACACGTTTCTAGCTTCTAACCAATCAAGATAGCAAAACTAGTTCACAAGCGATTTGCATCAAGAGAAAAGTCACAAAGGGAACCGAAACGTTTCATCGGAACTTGGCTTCGGAAAGCACGTGGCAAAAGAAGGACTCCAAAAACCTCTGCTTATTATCTCCTAGACCTCACCCGGACACTGGCCGCCGATGCCTGCCAGTTCTGGGCAAGCTCTTCTATGTCCGCGGCCTCAGCCGTTCGTGTCCTGCTGCCTCGGTGCCGACCGCTCATCGACGATGAGCTAGGGATATCGCACTGTGCATCCTCGAGTCCAGGAATCTGCAAGGAGCCGATTACAGCAGTAAAGGAAAGTGGTCGCGTGAGGCACGTGCCCGGCATATCATCGCCATTTCCTCATGCAAAAAGGCTAGCGATTACAAATAGAATGGAGAAAGCAGTGAGAAGATGGGCGCAGACACTTCCACACTAGTTTGCAAAGCACCAGCCGCCGTTTCGCGCCGCAGCTTCTTGACTACAGCAACTCAGACCCTGGAGATCATTGATCCCTAACAGGCCCACAATTCAGGTTTACCTCTACTGCGAAAAGAAGGCTACCAGCGGCAACGGAACCTCCTGGTACGTGGAACCGAGTCATTGATCCTTGAAAATTGGAGCTTTGAGGCCGACCTCTACAAGCTTGATAAAATGAACTCCTATGTCTTCCTAACTAAGTCATTATACAAATAAAAAGGATACTGAAGTGTTTGTATCTTTTAGGATGCAAAAAAATCTCGTGTACGGGATGTACGGTGCTTGTTGAAAAAGAGCAGCATTCGTTGCTCCATAGGGACCTCAAGGTATGCTACCACTATCGTAGCTGTCATGGCCGCCATCTGTGAAATATAAACAATGTGACAAGGTTGCGTCGTACCAAGAAGGAAAAGGCATCGCGTTGTTCAGAAACGGACACGTGTTGTCAGGATTAGCATGATCAGGGGTGCACTTTCCAAGGCAATTGATGCGACTCACAGCGACTAGCCCGACCAGCTTGTGCCAGCAAGCGTGGTGGTGGGCGCTGCTGTACTTCCATGTGCCCGGACGAGCGATTGCCTTAAAGCCTTATTCAATGCAACGCACAGAGTGTGCTGCTGTAACGGTAACCTAATTGGCAGTACGTCGCAGTGTACATACATAATGATTGAAGAATGCAGTCGAAACTTATCAACGGAGGAGGGCGTTTGCAACTCATGGATGGGCATGGATGGACACATCACACATCGTAGTTTCTTTCATATACAATACAATCAGCGATATTTCCACATATTGCATTGCATGCACCAAGCACCAGCTAAAGCGCGCGAAACCCGTACCAGGCGGCAAGGCGCGAAAAACCCGCATCACGTAATCGCCGATGAACCCATGACGAAAGCGACCCGCACACACAATTCCTGCAAATGACTGGGAATTAGACCCAGCTAGGAAACTCCGCTGCCCCCAACGTAACGGATCCGCAATCGCTCTGCACAACATTGTACACACCATTCATTACATTGGCCATATGCCTCCACATGCAGTCCCAACAGCCGCCACGAAGCCCTAAGAATGTCCAACAGCCAAACATGTGCGCGAATGCTCCCTTTCATTACAAACACATAACATGCGAACAAAAATGCATGTGCCGTAACGAAGGCTGTAATGCTTTCATAGGCAGCGGGGAAGAATAGACGGAGGCCCCAGGTCGTCATCGCCGCAGGGTGGACTTTCAAGTCACGTATGACGGTGTGTGCAGCATATCGTCCGGCATTACATTGGAATGTGAAGGGAAAGTGAAGGATCGGGGATTGGTTGATCTGGCGAACAGGGGCCGCTGTGTCACCCATGTGCGCGATGTCATTCAGCTCCTGTGTCGCTGCCGCAACACCGGCTTCATCAACAGCCTTCCCTCTAATCCCCAAAGCCAAATTTCTTCGTCGTACGCCTTTCAACTTTCCCTCCATTCCTTCTCACAAAGCAGACGGCTGTAGCGGGCGGCTGCTTAGAAGATTGGGAGGCCCTGACAGCATAAGCATCCTTCTGGGACTCGTGCTGGGCATGGCCGCTTCATCAGCCATGTCTTTGTGTGCATGTCCGGTGACGGGCAAAAATGACACATTTATCTGGCCTTCACTCACATGCCGAGAGGAGTAAGTGCCGCTCATCGCCATCACGGGCTGCACAGAGAGTGCTGCACATGTCACTTGTCATTGAGATGACGAGGGTTGGTTCGCCAATAGAATGGAAGCAGGAGTGGCGCTGCCCATTCGCGATGTGCCACACATGGCATGGCGGATGCCGTTGTCATTGCTGCAATAATTATAAAAATTGTTGGAGATAAGAGTCCTTCAGTGAACACATCACTCGCTCATATCGTTACACAAAGAGAGAATAACGAAGTCACAAGACGTATATAAAGTTGTCACAGTCGATTCTGGTCTGGTGTCGTCCTGGGATTGGAACAACTAAGCATGAGCGTCTCTTAAAACGCTTTCCAACACTCCCACGCGCTCAGGACTTGCACACGTTTGTAGCTGCTGCACGGTGGTTCACAAACGTCTCAGGCGGCAACAGCTTTATTAGGCAATCGGCTACTATATACCAAGCGCCACCTGCTCCCGCCTGCTCCTGTACGAAATGATAACGCACGGAAATGTGCTTCGATTGCTTCGACACAACCGCATTGTCCGCCAACCGAATCATGCTCTGACTATCGCAATTCACTGAGGTAGTCGCCAAGTAGTTGTCGACACAAAGCCACAAAGCCTCCTTAGCAGCCTCCGAAGCCACCATGTACTCTGCCTCCATATTAGATGCGGCTACACTCTGCTGAAGTTTGCTAGCCCAGCTAACTGCACCACCGTGAAGAGTAAAGATGTAACCGGACGTTGACCGCCGTGTATCAGCACAGCCTGCGTAATCAGCATCACTATATTCGACTAGCCTCTCCTCTACATGTGCACTACCTAGAACCAACCCATAATCAGACGTCCCTGCCAAGTAACGCACAACCTCCTTCACTGCCTAGGCCTTCCAGTGCGACCTGCTAAGGTTCAACATGTGACGCGCTAGAGCTCCCACGGCTTGTGCAATGTCCTGACGTGTACACCCAGACATGTACAACAGACTTCCAATCAACTGGCTATATGGGAATCGCTCCTTATCCAGCCGATCTTCCGCTGCAGCCTTAGGTAAAACGGTACCAGAGCTCGTGGGTACGTAAATCAACTGCCTGGCTTCACGGAGGGAGGCCCGGGTGTAGTTTGTCTTCTCCATAAGGCTTTGTAGGGCCTTCATCAAGCGTCATGCACACGGTATGATACGTTGTGCGAAGAGTTAGTGTCTATGGGCTTTATTGCGTCGAGTGCAGACCATAGTTTATTTGTACGTCGCGAGCATGATTAGGTCGTGTATCTTTTGGTCTATGTCAATGACGTTTTGATCGTGGCTTGGAGTGAGAAGGCTGTCCTAGAAGTCAAGGGGGCCATCATGCGGTGTTTCGAGTGCCGTGATATGGGAGAAGCCAGTTTGTTTTTGGGTCTTTCGCTGAAGCGTGACCGGAAGAATAGAATTACTACTGTGTCCCAGGGGTGTATGGTCAAGGATATTGTGGGTCTATACGGCACGGCTAATGCACAGCCGAAGTCCATACCCACGAGCTCTGGTACCGTTTTACCTAAGGCTGCAGCGGAAGATCGGCTGGATAAGGATCGATTCCCCTATAGCCAGTTGATTGAAAGTCTGTTGTACATGTCTGGGTGTACACGTCAGGACGCTGCATAAGCCGTGGGAGCTCTAGCGTGTACCGCATTTTCGTCATCATCATTGTTGGAATCGGACGTTGTTATCCCTTCCTCTGACGATGATGACGAAAACGCGTTACGGTACATCTTATTTTAGGCGTAGCCTAACATGTGGTTTGCAGACGGGCGTCAGAGCGGCGTCGTACGGTGCGGTTGGTTGGTTGTTGTCTTGAGCTGCTGTTTTGCTCGGTGGTGGTTCGTCTTGTCTTATTCTTCTTCTTTGTGCTCTCTGACTCGGCTTCTGGTTGGTACGAACTCTCTTTATCAGAACAGCTGCTAGTTGCCGCTGTTATTGTCTGTTGGTCAGCAGTGTGGATCTGGTGACCTGGCGGAGCAGGATGTGGCGATCCTGCCTCTGCAGTTGTTGTGGCATACTTGCATATTTACCTTCGGACTTTTCCCCGAGACTCTGGCACTTCGCCACTTGGCATTATCTTCGCTCTTACTTGGTTAACCATTGGGCACTTGCCTATCTCTAATTGGGCACTGGCCCATCTCTAATCGGGCACTTGCCTGTCTTTATCACGCGTGATACTGGGTTATAGCGCTCTTGCTATAATCGTGACACTTGTCACTGGTAGACCCACTTGGGTTACGATTGCACCGATTGGTGATAATTCGCGTTGACGACTATATTCTCGGATCGTACAGACTTCTGTACGAGTCGTCCTAACGCAGAGGCATTTAGCCTCCCTCCATTCACTAATCGGTAGTTTTCACTACCACCTAAACAGTGGAAGTGGATACAACAGCAGTGAGTGCCTCCCGGACCCCTCCTCGGGGATAAGGAGTCTGTGTGACGTTTAGCCCAGTTGGAGGGAACCCACACGCTGCGGGTTAGAGCTGCCCTCCCCGTCAGGCGATAGACGGGGCGCGCACTGCGATGTCGGCCCCCTCCTCGGGGATAAGGAGGCGTCTTGCTGACGTTTGTGTTTTGGCCATCTGGACTGGGTGAAGGGGGAATTCTTGAGGGAGGAATCGCCCCAGGCGCCTACCCCGGCGGTTGGTACCGCTGCACCACTTGCTTGCTTGCAGCGGAGGGTATCGGATCAGTGGCACATGGGAGTGTTACGGAGGAACTGGCACAGCTGACTGTGGTGTTACACGACAGCGCGGTCGCAGACAGCTCATCGGTCACCTACAAGGCGGGGTGGCGACGCTTTGTGCGCTTCTGCATCTGCATGAAGGTCGCAGGGGTGCCAGAGGCGGATGCCCGGCCCCGCCAGCGTGGGTCTGACCTCAATCGGGACCTGGTGTGTCTGTTCATAGCGCATGCAGTTGGCCGGTACGCGACCTCCACCGTCACCGGCACACTGAGCGTCCTGGCGGACTGGCAGCGGTTCATGGGAGTCTCGCCAGAGGCAGATATCAGCCACGATCCGCTGGTCAAGCGAACCCTGGGCCAAGCATTGCGGAGGGCTGCTGTGAGGCTGGAGTCGGCACCGACCAAGATGAAGGCACCCCTGCCCCTGGGGGTGCTGGAGCTGCTCATGGTGTGGCTACGATGCAGGGCAAATGCGGAGCCGCGGAGGGCGATGGAGTTCACCCAGGACGCCTGCTGGCTGGTTTTGGGGTTTTTCGGGATGCTCCGGAGGAGCGAGTTGGCGGCCCTGACAGTGGGCGGCATTGAGGAGTTGCCGGGAGGGGGTGTGGGGCTGCAGGTCGTATGTAGCCAGACGGACACGTTGGTGGGCCTGGCAGCACTCACCCAGAGCGGCATCCCCATCGCTCACATAGTGCAGCGGCACCTGGAGTGCATGAGAACGGCCAGAGTTCACTTCCCACTCTTTGTACAGGGAATCACTTGGCCGTGCAAGCGGGGCTCGGCTTGCCAGTGCAGGGATTTTGCTGGCAAGCTGCTTGTATTGCTGGGAGAATTGCAGGGATACGAGCCGGAGCTGAGGATAGATGAGATTAATTCGCACGGGTGGTGGAGGTCCGTTGTGGTGCTGGTCTGCATTCGCCGGTCCGTTGCTGTGAGGCGGACAGTGGTGGAGCAAATGTGACGCGACTGGGTGAGGGGGGATGTTTCGCTGGGTTAGGCGTGGGGCCAAAGTAACCCAAGCGAGGCTGTCGGCTGCCTGCTGGTTACCAATGCGGAAGAGCACGGTAGCCCGGAAGGGCCGCACGAAGTAGCATGCACGCTCTGGCAGGCAGGCTGGACGTCTTTCCTCCCCAACCATATGTCCACGTCCCCGGTGCCTTGTTCTTGTTAGTCGTGCTGTAACTAACGCGTTTGGGTTTCTTGTCCCGGTGTCTTGGTCTGGCTAGCTGTTCAGCCCGGATTCAAAATGGTTCCTTCATCAAAAACCATGTCCACGCTAATGTGAATCTGGTTCTCATGCAGGACCCAACATGCCACGAACTTAGCTTGGGTTCATATCCAAACATGACACCTTTCACACAGACTGGGTCAAGCTTCTTCCTGGAAGCTTTAGGGATCTGGATGTAGGCCACACAACATATATATTCGCAGCTTAGATACATCGGGGGCCTTTCCCATGAAGAGCTCCCATGGTGTCCACACAGTCCCCTCCACAGGACACACGTTATGCATGAGGTTTGTCGTTACTACCACTTCTCCCCAAAGCTCCTGAGGGACACCCGACTCAACTAGCATGGTTTGGACATGCTCCAGCAAAGTCCTGTTTAGGCGCTCTGCTGCTCCGTTTTGTTCTGGTGTGAGCCGACTTCTTGTGCACAGTGCATCTATCGGAAAAGAAAGAAGCAAGGTGCTTGTTCACACACTCAGTGCCACAATCACTACGGACACTGAAGCCATGGCATCCCCCTTTGCCGAGTTCTGGCGTGCTGTGATGCTTGAGGAGCTTGAGTCGTTGCATATAAAGGGCATTTGGTCCTTAGTGCCGAAGCCTAAGCATACCCGGACTCTCAATGTCAAGTGGGTGTTTTCGGTAAAGCACGATAAGCATAGAGCAATGGAGTGGTTCAAAGTGCACCTGGTTGTTAAGGGTTTCATGCAACGTGAGGGTGTGGATTTTCAGGAGGTTTTAGTGCCGATAAGTCGCCGCACCACCTTGTGCACTATCAAAATGGCGTTTCTGAATGGCGGTTTGGAGGAGGAAATCTACGTAAATCAACCGCCTGGCTTTGAGGAGGGAGGCCCGGGTGTAGTTGCCCTCGCGCACCGGTGTTAAGTATTCCACATCCTCGGGACTGAAGGTCAGGTAGTCCTCAGCTCCCGTGTCAAGAAGCCATTCACCAGGTCTCTGCACCCACATTCCCAGGCGTGTTGATGACTCCAACTAGGCCCCGCCACATGCCATGGGCCTGCGGCTCCACCTCCGCTTGTTGTTTATCGTTGTTGCAGCTGGCGCATATAAGGCTGGGGGGGGTGGAGGAGGCGGCGGCGGTGGCGGGTAGCCCTGCTTAAGCTTCGGACACTTCGCGACTAAGTGACCCTGCTCCATGCAGTAGTAACACTTGCGGTTGTCCTTCTTCTTGTGTGGCATCTGCCATGTGTCGTTGTAGGCCCCCTTGACGGACGACTTCTTGGCCTCCGACGGACGACAACGAAGATTTTCTGCTCCTCGACGAGTAGTCGCATTTCCAACTTGTCCACGTCGTCGACGTCGCTAGCGTTCTCGATCACGGATCCAACAAAACTGTCCCAATAAGACACCTTCGAGTTAAGAAGCCGAAAAAGAGTGAACGAGCGCGTAAAAAGGGCGGATGAGGCGCCCGCTGTCGGTGGGTAAATACAATAAACACATTCGGTAACAAGGTGCAGATGAGGGATACGCAACATTGTCATGTTTCGTAATTGGCTGGGGCTGTATCTGGTTGCCACATGGATGGCTTGGTTGCACATCTGTGCGTCAAACGGCAATTGAAGGTTCTTTCAACCTCCAACAGCTCAAATCAGCTGATCCTGCGGGTAAGAACTTCCTTGGCAGTTTGCTCAATTTTCCTTAGCGTGGATGTACGGACCTCACCAACTAACCACCAAAACAGGCCAGTTGCTCCTTTCGGGGGGAAATTGTTTCAATTGCTGTCCATTTCGCTAAGCTGTTACATCAAAGACCTTCTGTGCAGCTTCTGAACCCTGCGATGGCGGAAAAAGAAAGCGGAGTAGCGGGGTTTTCAATAGCTTGGGACTGAAGCAAGACATGAAAGATGCGCAAGATATGAAAGATGCATAAAGACGGGATCACAGCACTTGATTGAACTGGCAAGTGAGCGAAAGAGCGCGAATACTCATGAACCCCATTCAAGAGAAGGGCTTGAAGGGGCCGGCGGATTATTGCACCTGCTCAGAGATCGCTGAGCTCCGCCAGAGGGTAGCGAGACTGGAGACACTTCTGCAGGCCGTCCTTGCCACCATCCCAACGGTCTTGCGACAAGACACATTGCTCTCAGCCGCAGGTGATCGTTAGCTGCACACTTGACATTTTTCGCAAACCGAGTATGCTTTGTCACCTAGCAACATTCGGATACCTTCTCAACCACCAAAACGGCCGAGCCCAGCATCTTCTTCGCTTGTCCCTCCGACTTTGCAAGGCACAAAATTCCGTATTTGTCATATGCTCGCTTCGCTGCCCGTTTCGTAAACGTTTTCCATAGCCCTTTTCCGGGGCCCCAGCGTTGCGGCTTGACTGCCAAGCACGATACCCCCAACTTGCCCTTCAACAGCTGTAAGCGGCTATCCTCTTGGGGAGTCGTAGAAAATTCGTCCAATCCATTTTCTGCTAGAATACCCACCTCCCAAGCCCTCCTCCGCTAAGGCTGTAAATGTTTTCTAATCAGACAGCTGGAAATCGAAATGGATTGATGCTTACGGCGCCGAATGACTCCCATTCTGCTGGTCCTACTCCTCAGCCCCACAGCTTCTGATGCCTCTTGCCGCCCACGCAGCCACCGCTGATGCTGTCGTCGACGCCGACGCCATCATCGCCAATGCGGCCCTCTTAACGGATGGCTCCACCCCCCCGCCAGGGGCCATGAGACCGGCAGCCGAGCACCCCCGACACCAACACCAACAGCAGCAGTTGACAGTAGCAGCTGAGCAGCTGCTCCGAGACCCAGGGGATGTACGACCGAGCGGTGGCGCCGCTGCCGCTACGGACTCGCTGTTGAAGGCGGACGCTGCGACCACGACGCCGCTGCCGCCGGTGGCGGCAGCTCCACCTTCAACAGCACCAGATGACGGCGGTGCCACGACCGTACCAGCTACAGCCGCCGTACCAGCCACCCATCGGCATTTACACGGCGTGGCTTACACAACATCCCCCCCAGTGGCCGCTGACTCAGATCCCATCCTGGATCCCACCACAGTCGTTGTCCCTGCAGCCACCGCCGCTGCTGGCCCCAAATCCGGATCTGGATCCAGATTCGGAACCATCGGGACCAGAGCTGAGGCCTCTGGTCTCGGAGGGGATTTATCACTAGGGCGGGGAGTGGGGTCTGGGGTTTTGAGGGGGGGAGCTGGCGGGGGCTCGGGGGGTGTGGGGGATGGTGGCGGGGTTGGGATTTGCGTCGCCATGGCAGCTACCCGCGTGGTGATGCACCAGTTGGTGCTGCCGGCTGACGTGAACCAGCTGGGTATTTGTACGGGAGGACAGGTGGGGGCGAGAAGGGAGAGGGGAGGGGAGGGGGCTTTGATGGAACAGCAACGAGGAGGCAAACGCCGCACACAGGAGGTTCACTGGTGGGGGTTGTCGGATAGGGGATAGAGAAGGACAGTGCGGGAGTGGGAGCCAACCAACGCACAACAAAACAAAACACGACACGCGCATGTCCCTCTCATCTTTCGTCTCCCCTGACCATAGGGGTCTCTTTCCTCTACGGCCCCGACCGCGCGTATGTGCGTCTCTCTTTCTGGATGTATGTATGTACTGTCGTACACACTCACGACACGTTCCGTTGGACCCCCCTTACCCCTCCTTAGTAGTTAGGTGCCCTCCTTTTCCCTTGCGCCGATTTTGCATTCTCCCCCCCTCCCCCTCTTCCTCCCCAGTAGGTTCTTAGCTGGATCGACGTGTGTGCGGGTTTGTCCGCCAAGACACTCGTTCATGGGCCCTGTGTCACGGCCTCCGTGGATGCCGTACACTTCTTGCGCCCCTGCCGACTGGGCTGTGTGGTCATCATCGCGGCCATGGTCTCAAGAACCTTCAACACGAGCCTGGAGGTGGGGGTATGTCATCCTCCTTCAGCCCACACCGCCTAATCGACCTTTTACACTCTTCCACTAAAGACGCCCCTTGTGGGCCCACCATCATCATAGTCGTACCATGACCATTGTCGTACCATCGTCATCATCATCATCATCATCATCACCATCACGACCGGATTCCCCCGCGGGTCCGAGGGGTTGCTGGGTGTGTAAACCGTGTCGACGTGTTTTGAAACGGCAGGTGGCGGTGGTGGTTGAGAGCGAGGATATGCGTACGGGCGTACGACACCACTGCTGCTCGGCGCATCTTACATTTGTCGTACGACCCCGTACGGATACGGCCACGCCCGGGTTTGCGGTGGGTCTCCCCCGGGTTTACCCGACAACGCCGGAGCATCGAGCCATGTGGGAGGGCGCGGAGGTACGGCGGCAGCAGCGGCTGGAGCGCCGTACACGGGTACGGCGGAATCCTGAGCTGCGAGAGGCAGAGCGGGTGTGCAGGTTGGTTCGGAGCTGCGGACTGCTGGTCTGTAGGTTTAAAAGCCTTAAGGAGATCAAATGATGCGCCAAGTTTATGGTTGCTATGTATGTATGTCGTTACAGGGTGGTATAGCTTCACCAGCGGCCCCCTTTCCCGAGGCAGTTCCCTGCTCTCCCCTGCGAGAGGGGCACCCTAATCCGTTCACCCCATCCGACTTCAGAATGTATTCGTTGGGTTCGGCAACTCACCACCAGCATCCAACCAATTCTAGCGGATCAACGGCGCTTCAACTTAGTTCCTGGTCAGCTCGCAGTTGATATTATCACGTCCTACACCGTCCATAAGATGGGGGCCCACCTCCCATTCCAACACCTCTCACACACCCGAGAGGTCGGCAGGCGGATTTGAACTATGTATGATGTGTGAAACAGGGGGGTGTATCTTCGCCCGTGGCAGCTACCCTGCGAAACCCTGCCTTCCCCGGTATTTCGGGGCACCCTCATCCAGTCACCCTAGTCAACTTCTCAGTGGATCGCTCAGGTTCCGCACCCACCACCAGCATCCAACGGAATCTGCCGGGTCGACAGCGGCGCAACTCCATTCCTGGTCGGCTCGCAGGTTAACTTTATCCCAGGTCACCACCGTCCATCAACTAGGGGCGCAATGCCTTCCACCATCGGAAGGACTTTTGACCCTAAGGGGTATCGATCCCGGGATCTCCCGGGGGCAATGGTCGCGCCTTACCAGTGGTGCCAAACCCTAGTATGTATGTATGTACGTATGTATGTATGTATGTATGTATGTATGTATGTATGTATGTATGTATGTATGTATGTATGTATGTATGTATGTGGATTGCGAGGACATGAAATCCTGGATGTGGATTGTGTGTTTAGTTCCTCAGTATGTCTGTCTGTTTCGGGATTGCCTGGTGCTTCATTCAGTGTGAGTGATTGTGGACCCGTATGGTATTCTCCGTCTGCTACTGCTACTGCTACTGCTATAGCTGCGACAACTGAAGTACTGCAAAAGTGCGGTAACCACTAACGCTATATCCGGTTCGCCGCCTCTGCTGCTGACCCGGCTAACCGCTCCCCCAACCGCCACCCGACAACCGCATTCCCCTGCCTGCCTCCACCGCCACGCCTTCAGGCTGCAGCCCATCACCCACCGGGAGGGGGGACCCACACTGCCGCCAGCCGTCACCCTCCCACAACCCAACAACCACCACAACCACCACAACGACCGCTCATCGCCCGCGAGACGCTCACCCCGGATTCACGCCGGTGGTGGAGCTCCTGCGGTGGTGGCCGAGGAGGTGGAGCGGGTGGCGTCACTGCCAGTGCCGCCGCCGCCGCCGTACCGTCAGGGGGTGAATCCGGGTTGTACGACAGCCTACATGACGCAATCTATTTTGCCGCAACACGCCAACACGTTGAACATTACGTTTGGAGGGCAGGTGGGGTGTGGGGAAGAAGGGGGAGGGGGCGGGTGGGGGGAAGTAATGTGGTGTGATGACGGGTAGGTGCTGGGTGGTTAATTGGGATGGCCGGAAAAGGAACATGTGTGTATGTATGTATGTCATAACTGGGGACACCCGCACGTCCACATACCCCAATCACTCCCTTCCCCACAAACACAACAATCCCCCACCTCTCCCGCTCGCGGTTACATTCCTGCTCGGGGCGCGCCCGGGCATGCTTCTGTCCTCCTCCCCCTCCTCCCCCCCTTACCACCCCTCCTCCCCCCCTTACCACCCCTCCTCCCCCCCTTACCACCCCTCCTCCCCCCCTTACCACCCCTCCTCCCCCCCTTACCACCCCTCCTCCCCCCCTTACCACCCCTCCTCCCCCCCTTACCACCCCTCCTCCTCTGCCCGAATTAATCCGCCACGAGGTCGCTAGTCTATCATCACCTCCGTCCCCCCTCTCCCTTCTTCACTTTGTTCGACTCCTTACGTCGGGTGTGTAAGTCCTCCAACTGACTTCCCCTCTCCAATCCCCCGGTCCCTTCCGCATTCCCCCTTCAAACACACACACACGCCTATTGCTCAGGCGTTAATAAGCAGGGGATGCTTCATCACCGCTTCCTCTATAGGCTTAACTTTCGATAATAATGATAATGATGATGATGGTAATAATAATAATAATAATAATAATAATATATAATAATAATAATGATAATGATAATGATAATAATCATAATATCCTGGAAGTTACCAAAAACTAAATATTTATAAATCATTGCGATTGCCAGCATAATTTCTAGAAATTTATTATATTTGTCCTGGAAAAGGTGATAAACTACCGGCTTATTTACCCCCGGCACGGAGGGTAAACCGAAAACAGTCGTCACTTATCGAAATGTACATGTAGCCCCATGGCTCCCAAATGCCTTAATGCTATGATGCATTTTGATCCACCTCACGATTTGGCCTCTTTTGACCCTCTGCCGCTCTTTCATAATTAGTATTCTGACACCGGGACAGCAGTAAATTAGGGGTTGCTGTTAGGGGCGGTGTTGCGACATTCTCATATCAACATACCCACCCACCCACCCCACCCCGCAAGGTGATGAGCTGGATGGAGCAGTGCGCCTACATCAGCGCCTCTCGGCTGAGGTCCCCCGCACTGCTGACCGCCGCCATGGACAGCGTGTCGTTCGTGAAACCCACACGCGTGGGGGACATACTCTACATCACGGCACAAGTACGGCAAATGGGGTAGTGGGGGGGAGGGTGGTGGAGGCGGGGTGCGTGTTTCACCGGTGCGGTGGTGATGGCGTGCGTGCGACGTTAGGGTTTGCTATGTATGTACGTATACCTGTATGTATGTACACATGTTGTGTATGCGTGCGTGCGTGCTTATGCTGGGGGCTAACTCTTCACGAGGTGTGTACGGGAACTTAGAACTGACGGGAAGTGGCTACCGTGGGGCAACATTTGTCAGCGTATGTATGTATGTATGTATGTATGTATGTATGTATGTATGTATGTATGTATGTATGTATGTGCACGTGCGTGTCAGTCACATGTCGTTACGAGCGGTGTCCTCTCCCCCTCCCCCTCGACTGCGTAATGGGCCAACACGGTGGGGCCCCGGCGGGCGGTGAATGGCGCACTGACCGGCAGGTCACGGCCATATTCGGGAGCAGCCTCGAGGTGATGGTCAGTGTATTCGGAGAGAGCCCGTATGCGGGAGCGGGAAGCAGCGCCGTCAAGGCAGCCGAAGCGGCGGCGGCGGCAGCGGAAGGGCCCAACGGCGGCGGCGGCGAGGAGGGGGGCGGCATCTTTCATTGCGCCGATGCCTTCGTCACGGTGGTAGCTGTGGACGAGCGGCACGGGTCGCCAGTCACGGTACGGCAGTATGGAAGTGTATGTCATACTGTGTGCCTGAGGGTGCGGTGTATGTCTGGTAGGGTGTGGTTGCCTGTGCCGGTATCGACCAGTGTACGTCTGCAGAAATTCCGGGATTGCCATGTCCTACGTATGGCCATATGGTCTTATCCACAACTGGCACGGCACATGTGAAGGTTTTATAGCACGCAAGTTGTACTCGTACTGTCGTACGAAGTGTACTGAAACTGTGTGTTGGGGACCGGAAGAGGCGCGTGTGGATCCCAATGGTGCGGAGAGTTAACCCCGATGTGCCGTACGTATCAGGAACCGCTTTAAAACCCGTCTACTGTCAATCGATTTCTCTGCCGTACTGGTTTGTTGTACCGTATGGTACCCCGCCAGGTGCCCTTCGAGCTGGACCCGCAGGAACCGCCCGACCTGCTCCGATACCAGGTGAGTCTGCCGTACAGAAAGTTGCCGGTTGTTGATTGAGAGTACGAACCTGTTCTGTATTGACAATATGGCTAAATGCGCGATGTGTGCCGCGGTATGTTTTTGCTGCTGGTACTGCCCTGACCGACTGACCGACCGACCGACCGCGGCTCCAAAGCGGCTGAACTCAATAATGTAAACTCTGCGTCCTATCGTTCGCTCCCGTATCGTATCGCACTGCCGCCCCCAACTTCTCTAAATTCTATTCCCAGTCGTGCTGGCGTGCCGCTTACACGCCTCCCCTTCCGTACGCATCCTTACCTCCGCCTCATCATCAACCGTCTCTATGTTGATGGCATAACAACATTATATATAATAATTATCATTATTGTTTATCCTTAATTTTTTTATTTACCCTTTAACAATATAATAATCATATTTATATGATAACATTATTTATCCTTAACAAACATAACGATTTTAAAATCATTATCATAAATCCGATTCCACGCTCGCTCCGAAACTTCTCCTGCTAGGGTGCTGTGGCACGTCGGGCGGAGCGTCTCGCCCTCCGCGGAGAGTTCACGGCGGCGGAGGGCACCCGGCTGTCCCTGGACGGCAGCCACCCCTACAGCCCGCCGCCGGAGAGGGCGGCCGGAGCGGCGGACGACTCCGACGGCGGCGGCGTACTGGACGCTATCCCGCCGCTTTGATGTGGGTACGGACGTGGGTACAAAGATACAGACGTATGTATACAGACGATATCGGTTGAGGGCGGCGGATGCGGAGAGCATTGCGTAATTTGAAGCGGGGACACCCCCCGCCTGCTGCGACCACTGCTGCAGCTGCTGCTGCTGCTGCTGCTGCTATAACCTTCGCTGCTGAGAATAGTGTCAGTAGGAGGGATTTTGGCGGTATTATAGAGGGTTCACATGACGGGCGTCCCTTGACGGGCGTCCCTTGAAAAAAATCATTCGGTGCTTAGTGGGAGTATATCTGAACAGACAGGGGCAAGAGAGCACATGGCCACGCGTCTGAATATTGTCTGATACGGACAAGGGGCCAGTACAGGGAAACAGGTCCTATTTTGCCTGAGATGCCAGTACAGGAAAACGCAACGGTCAGTCACGATGTATTCACGACTAGAAAGCCGCGGATTCAATATTGAGAACGTAGTTTTGTAACTAGATCGATTTCGTTATCAGGATGTGTCCTGTCCTGTGTGGTGGGAGACGGTGATTGTCAGTTGCAGGGGCCCTATGCCCAGCGGGACAAGGGACGGAAGAGAGAGAGAGAGTGGACGAGCGCGCCGTTCATGTACTGCTTTTGCGACTGCTCTGGATTAAAGACTGGGATAATCTTCGCTCCGAGTCCGCTTGAATGTCGTACCTTAAGAGACTGCCGTACTTGCGGTAGCTTTTCTGAGTGTGCATGAGTTCAGAAACCTATATGATTGAGAGAGAATGCCGTGGCATGCAGCAGCAGCAGCAGCCATCGATGGGCCAACAGGGGTGGGTAACACCACACAGGTCAACATGGACCCCCCACAGATGGACCACTAATAATCCAACACTGGAAATAATAATGCTACACTGCACGACACATGGCAAAATAAAGAGGACCGACTGTGCTGGCTTTTCGCCTTTCTTTACTAATGCCCGTGAGGGACTTTACCGCTTGCCGTACGGCTGCCGTAAGACTAAAGCGCCAAGTCCCAAGGTAACGTTTTGGGGCGGGAACACCGTCTTCAACATCCCCTTTGTTTGTTTCAGTGTTAGCTTCATCAAGGTGAAGAAATTCGCGGGTGAAGGCATCGGGCGGTTAGGTGCTTGAAGGGCGGTTACAGTGCCGTACATGCGGCCGTGATGCAAGGATGCTTTAAATTGGACATATGACTGTTGAGAAGTTGTGGGTATTTCCCGTTCGATCGTTGCCCGTTCTACGATTTCCCTTTCATAGCCGGTCAGTTCTGTTGGGTTGAATTGGGCTTGGGGTCGTACTGTGTCCCGTATTGTAAAAGGGAGGATGGATGTTGCAGGGGAGGGGATGGAGTCTTCACCCTACGCAACCGACTAACCGAACTCGCTATGGCCCGCGCTAGAGGGCAATGGCGCCCGCGCCAGCTCCCACTTTCTCTTCAGGGCTCTGTCCGTCACCGCCATCCACTTCGACCGCTATGGGGCTTGAACCCACAACATAAGAAGACTCCTACGGGTGGATGAATAGGCTATCTGTGCCAGCTTGCGTCTGCCCCGCCCCACCACAAAGCCACCCTCCAGTTCCATCGTCAGTAACCACCATTGGAACCACCTCAGATCCAACCCACGAGGGAGGGAGGAGGGCGGGGAATGTCCGCTGTTTCCAGAGCTCGGAAACGCACATTTGGCGCATCGGTGGACTCTAGGACGCTAGGAAGGCGAGACGAATGTCGCCTAAGCCGCGACATGTCTGGTCTGTCCGTCCGGGGACATGAATCCGGGGACATGCCCCCCGGGGCCAGAGCCGCCATGGTGGGCCCTGCAAGGTTTTCGCTGTCCTGGATCGCTGTCCCCCGGGGGGTTGCAAGTCTGTCATGGTCTACAGATCGTGTCATGGTGTAATAGACACGGACGGTCCCTATCTATTACACTTAGGGCTGGGAATTACGGTTACGGTCCTTACGGAGTTGCGCATTACACCTTTCGCAATTACGGTGACCCCCCAAAAACACAGTAAAATGACGGTCCTTACGGTGTAATGCAATTACGGTTACCAAAAGGTCCAAATTACGGTCGGACCGTAAGCGTGCGAGCCAATACCGACGACCACACCTCGAAACATGCCATTTCGTCCCTTGGAGCTACGGGATAGTCTTAAAAAGCTTATTATACATTAACCTATGATTAAATTATCACAAAAGACAGCCAAAAAATGCTGAATGAGGCGAAAACATTTCAACCGGACTCCGGTTACCGGAGCACCGCGCGCGCATCGAGTACTGCATCTGTTGTATGCCATCATGCCATATGCTAAATCCTCAACCAAGAATGATGCTCCTAATATATACGGGCCGAACGTGCGTAACAGTGTCAGCCTCTGCCTCCTGGGCTGCGCATTGCCGCTAGGGGCATTTCGTCATCATCGCTGCTGGCGTCCTCCTCAGTGTCATTCTGTTGCTGCAGCGGCACCTGGGTCTTAGTTCCACTGTTATCAAGGTGGTCCCGCTGCTGCTGGCCCTCCACTGTCACCTGGATGTCACCCATATCGCGGCTAAATACAAGCTTAGGTGCAAGTAACCCTGATAAAACTATGTAAAAAGGTATGAAATAAGTTTATATATCGTTATATAAAAGAAAAGAAAGGATTTGGCTCCGACAACGAGGACCGTAAATCGTTACGGTCCACTTTGCCCCGGAACCCACCGTAAATTTCGGTATTTACGGCGTTGCGCATTACACCTTTCGCAATTACGGTCCATTTTATGGGATTACGGTGTTTTTCCCAGCCCTAATTACACTAAATCCTGCTAGGGTAGGAGGGATACATAGACCGGAAGATATTCCAGAGGCATTTCGCCGACCATCAACCGACCGGTGCGCCACGTGGTACCACGTCGTCTCAACAACGAATAAAACTGCAATTGTTTAACTATAGAGCGCCTATGCAAGACTCTAACGACAAGGGTAGTTGGGACCACCCACCACGATAGCTCAATCTTTTCTGCTGCACCGGGGACGACTTCCCTGGGTTTGGCGAGACCACACACACCGACACACACCGACACACACACCCCTCTTAAGATTAAATAATTATAGATACATAAGGTCTATACATAATGTGGCATTCAGTGTCGTTACAAACGCATTACTCCCTATGCACGGGAGTGCAATAATATCCCATTTACAGGTCAACACGCAGCTTACATATCCTGTCGATGGGCTGCTGTCGGTGCTCCATGTGGCCGATTAACAAATGGCCGAGCGGTGGTTAGTTAAAATATTTCTCTAGCGCCCTGATAGGGTGTTTGGCTAAGTTGTCCCATTCAAGGTCATCCTCGGGGGCAGGTCCTGGTCTTGAAGGGGAAAAGAGTCCTTCGAAGGACGTTGGACCCCAAGGTTCAGCATGTGCCCCAAGGTCCAAAGCAATCAAAGTGTTCTCGTACGGCCGTAAGAGACACTCCTACGTGCAGAGGGGATTAGTGGATGGAGGTGGGAAAGGTTCACGCTATTATCACTATATCGCATCAGCGCAACCGCATCAATCTATAGTAGCCAGCGGTCCCGAACAACTCCACGCTGCCTAGGAAGCACCGCGGGCAGCAAAGGCCCCCGCAGTAAAATTTGTTTCGGGTGCAGATAGCCACCTCGAGCTTCTCTCCTTTCTCGATCTGGTGAGTTGGCGAGCTGGTAGCTGCGAGGTCGACAAGGTATTGTATCAGGTCGTTTAGGTTTCTGTGTACACATATAGTCACGTAAAACCCTTTCGCACAGGGGCCGCAGAAAAAAAACGTCTCAGACTGTCCGAGCTCTGTCTTGCAAGGAAGTCTTGACCTGTTTTGGTTTCTTAGGGTGTTCGTTTTGGGGCGGGGCTATCCTAAGCTTTCCTTTGCCTGACTAGCTGGCACAGTCGAATCGGGCAGCTGCTATAATAATGCACACACCAAAAGCTTGACTTGACCTAACAAGCTAGACCCCAGAAGTTAGAATGCTACGCCAAAGCCTGGCAGCATTCTTGAGTGTTGCTCTGCCTGTCGGCACCCACTGGATGAATTGCAGGCCACCCGGCTGCCGTACAGCATTTTTTGCGTCGGACCCTCCACAACACTAACAACGCAAACGCCTCACTCGCTTCCTCACTGAAGATGCTTAATCCGAACCACTCCGGCACTGTTATCTAACAAGGCGAAACAAACGGTCCCATTACTAGGTAACTCCCATGGAATGGATTGAAACCGCTATGTCCTGCAGGTGTCTGCAACCCCTGATACGCCGTACCATCCCTGCCGTACCTTCTTTGAAGCCCGCCAGCTACGTGTACAACCAGTGATGTACGGCAACATGGCGACGTCGTCTCGGCGCGCCGCAGCCTGCTGGGACCTCCCCGTTCTGCTGGCGCTACTCATGCTGCTGGCGGCGCTGCTCCTGCTGCTCACCCCGGCACCAGCTTTTGGCGGCCGTACGTACGACAAGGTCGCTGGCGGTGTCGGTGGCGTCATTGCAATTGAGGATGGCAGCGGGCTGCGGGAGGAGGCAGCGGCGGTAGCGGCTTCGACTGCCGGTGCCGTGGCCAATGGTGATGTGGCTAGTGGCCTCGGTTACACAGCGACTGGGAAGGTTTTGCCCACCATGACCCAGCGGAAGCTGAATCAAGTAAAGGTGACGAGCAATGTGAAGGTTGAGACCAGTAGGGTGAAATACACCCGCAAGACCACAAAGGAGATTGGTGGTGGCGGCAAGTGATGGAATTCGGAGATAGAGTGTATTCGGAGATGGCGGTGGCAGCTGCAAGGCTTTATGAACCGGGACTTCACCGCCTGATGCGTGTATTTGTTAAGACCAGCAAAGCGCCGGGACCCCGTTGGGTCCTATTACTGTGGCTACCATTCACTGGTATATGAGTGTCGGTCATTTCCAACAGTATTGAGCCCGTGCACCTAAAACCGAAGCGTAACCAGCTCAGAACTCGAAGGCCGGAAATGAGCTTTATATCAACATGTAAACATTTTGATTTTGGGCATATACATGCTTGTTTTGCTCGATTTTGACTTGGATAGCTTACTACGCTTACGTGGGTTTGAGTGGATGCCTGTAAGGCTGCGTGAGAGCCGTACCGTACACGAGGGCACACGTCCGTCGGTTCCTCCATGCGCCCCTCATTCAATCACACACTCACGCAAGCCCTGGTATGTGGTCATGCTGTTCAAATTTTTAAATCACATATGCCAGCATATCCTGTACATATGTACACGCCGTGCAAGCCACAGAAACACACCCAGGCAAGGAATGAAAGGTGCCTGCTCAGACACGTACACGTTCATTACGTACACGTTCAACCCTTTCAGCATTTACAAAGATAACACATGATTTAGTTGGGCAAGCTGCTCATGATGTTCCCCCCAAATTCCAGCACCTCTCGTCCCGCTCTTCCTCTCAAGCATCGCTGCAGCAACCAGTATGGTCCCTTAACCCACTGTACGGGTCGTACAGGTCGGCGCTCTGGCTAACCCCTTCTACACTGATCTTAAATCGGTGGTATATTTGCTTGATCATGCACACATTGAGCCTTTCACCTTAGAGGAGGTAGCGTGTGCTGTCAGTAGGTTAACAAATGGAAAGGCTCATGGGCTTGAGGCCGTACCATCGGAATGTTACCGTTATGCGTGCCTCCCACGGGTGGATGAGCAGGGCAGGCGGGGAACGGAGGTGAACTGTATCGTCTCAGTGCTGCACGTTTTGTTAGAGCACATCAGGGCAACTGGTGATTTTCCACAGCAGTTTACCAAAACGGTGGTATCCCCAATTTTGAAGAAGGGCGACCCGTTGGTGGCAGGAAATTTTCGGGGCATTGCAGTTGGAGGAGCACTTGCGAAGTGCTATGCGTCAGTAATTCTTAACCGCCTGGTACGTGCTGGGGAAATACTGGACCTGCGGCACCGATGCCAAGCGGGTTTCAGGTGCCGAAACCCCGCCTGAAACCTGGTCAGGCGGCATCGGATCGCGGGGCAGCCGTCGTTGATAATAGTACAGATTGACTTTGAGAAGGCCTTTGATAGGGTGCCTAGCGAGCACATGTGGCTTCGGTTGCAGGAGAGGGGCTTAGCGGCCCCATGCTAGATGCTCTGAGAAAAGCGTACGAGAAGGTGTCCATGGTGATGAAGGTAAATGAGAAAGTGGGGGGAGAGTTAACTCGGGGAACGACTTGGTCATGGATGTGGTCATGCGGGGGGTTTCCTGTCATAGATCTGGTCATGTTGCCTCATGACCACTCATGAGGCCTCATGACCGGTCATGTTACCGGTCATGAGGCAGAGTCATGGTCATGACAGTTGTCATGCTCCTTGTGCAGCATGACTGATCATGAATCGCCACTCATATGTGTAAATTCAGTCATGTTCCCAATGGTCATATGCTGGCTATGTGTTCATGTTTTGTTCCTTTCTAAAAAATGACAATTATATGCCATATGGACTCCGAAAACCCTTCTGAAATGTTGCATAGCAACCATTGTGCAAAATGTACTATGCAGCATCCAGCAGGGATTCTGGAGTGCACTTGCATTGCTGATGTGCATTCAGGCGCGGCAGTAAACAAAGCCCTTAGGCTTAGCTGCACTTATCAAATGCAAAAGATCAGTATATGCCAGCTAGCAGGGCAAGGCAGCCATCATCCTGTTGGCCTGTTGGCAATCCGTACTCAATCCCCTTCCTTAAACCCTGTTATAAATTTGAAATAGGGGGGTCCTTGTGAAGCAGCTGCCCGCGTTTCCAAAGCACGTATGGTGTTGGATTGTAAGGTGCCCAAGTACGTTTGCGAGGAAGAGAATGTGGCCAGGCTGGAGAGGAAAGTGCAGTGGCATATTGGACTGTGAGATTAGCGTAAGCGAGTTACAGGGCGTTTTATCGCACGGGCGAATTTACGTGCAAATCTTTCACCGTAGCATCAGTCCTCAGTTCACTTCTTGGAACGAACATCAGCATAGGTCCAAGCCCTCTCGCTTGGAGGGATATGCAAACAAACATCCTGATAGGGGTAAACTCGCACGCTACCGAGCATTCAACCGAGCACATGCATGCTTAGTTGAATGGTGAGATGCGACCCCCCCTTCATTTCGTGCTCGGCAAGCCTGCCACCGCGTACCGGATATGTTGGCGATGTTACAGAACGCTGCACCGTTCACACACGAGTTAATGTTGGACATGTATGCACCGTGAATGAAACCCTAAGTGCGACCGTGCCTAAATTCAACAGCACCGCTCAATGTCCAGAAGCCTAGCGCCGAAGCCTAGCACCGACTTTATCCGTCAAGCGTTAAGTGTTCAGTTGCTGTGTGGGCTAGGCAAGCGTGGCAGGGGCGTCATCGTTTTGGCCACCGCGTACCAGATATATTGGCGATGTGAATGAGACGCTGCACCTCGGTACCTGTGCGCAATGCGTACGCTCCTCGACCGCGCCGACCAAAAGTACATGTTCCCATCTGAAGCCAATGCCGGTGGTTACTCAGCAGCTCTTTAGCTTGCTGCTGGCTCAAGTCCTTTCGTAGTTGCTGCAACACGGCTAACGCAGGCACGATATTCGCGGCGAATAGCTGTTCCAAGCCCTCAGCGGCATCCATTTTACTTGCAAGGTTCTGAACGACTTTCGCGATTCTTATGTTTACCTAATTCTGCGTTGTTATTATTTATTTCGTAAGAGTGAAAGTTGAGTTTAGTCGGAACCATGTGCATTATGCGCTGCGCTACCGAAAGCAGGCGCCTTATGGCTTGCACACAACTGCTTCTTCGCCGAACGCTTCATCTTCCCGCGGCAGTTTCACGAGCCCAGTGTTGCAAGCTACGACGTAGGCTTTCGGTGCTTTCAGATACTGCAAAGCAGCCACGCAATAGTCCAGCGTGCGGCTATGGCCAACATGCCCACCTGCGCAACGGTCCTCATCCGCCAAGAAAATTTATATACACTTGTACAGGCGCATTTTGCGAATCGCACGCGCGCATCTGCGCGGCAAAATTCGCTCCTGACTTTTGGGACGAGATGTACGGATTCTCTATTCGCGAAGTACGACCGGACACATTTGTGCGAGGGGCTGCTTAAAGACATATGCTACACACTTAAGGCATCTACTTGAGGTTTTACTAGCAAAGAATCTCTCATGCTGTGTTCAAGCTAGACATTTCGAACCACCAGCTCGCACTGTCAGCATTGTTCTTCACAACTCCTGTCTATATGTACCGGACAGGCTAAATCGAATTAGCCTGTAATAGTAATAACAGAATTCTGTTATGACTTATTCAGAAGCATGCAAGTACCAATTGAGTTCACCATCTTTCAATAACTAGTTAACATCACATGTCGCCTAACTTAATGAAGGATAAATGGGGCATACTGCAGAACGGCCAATTGATGGCCTACTGTGGCCCCCCGGCACTGAGTACTTCATATGCCCCTGGATCCCAGTCTCCTAGTTTCCCAGGCTCTCAGCATCCAAGGCACCTAGACTTCCAGAGTCTCAGACTGACAGGCTCTTAGGGTCACACACAAGCAGTGCCCCATGCTCCCAGGCTCTAATTCACCCAGCCCCCAGGCTCCAAGTAACACACGCTCCTTGGCCCAGGCCCCCAAGCTCCCAGGCACTAACAGTCTTCGTCCCCCAGTAACACAGGCTCCTAAGCACCCAGGCTCTCTATTAGGCTATCAGTAACACAGGCTCACAGGCCCCAAAGCTGTCAGGTCGCTGCATGCCTACTTTTCTTTTTCTTTTGGTGGTGGTTGCTGTCTTAGGGTTTCTTACATTCACAAGCATCTCTGCCAGCAATTTCACCTCTCCTGAACATGGAATGCAAGTCCCCCAGTCTGCCAGTTCTCCAGTCTCCCTATCTCCTAGCCTCCCAGTGTCCCAGGCTCCCAACCTCACAAGCTCTTAGGCACCCAGTCTCCCAGGATCCCAGCCTAACAGCCTACCAGGCTCCCAATCTTCCAGGCTCTGAGTCACCCAGGATCCCATCCTAACAACCTTCCAGTCTCCATGGCTCCAAACCTCCCAGCCTCAGCCTCAAATGCCACCAGTCTCTTAGTCTCCCAGGCTCCTAGGCTCCCAGTGTCCCAGACTCCCAGTCTCTCAGTCACACAGGCTCCTAGGCTCCCAGTCTCCCAGTCTCTCAGTCACACAGGCTCCTAGGCTCCCAGTCTCCCAGTCCGCCAGTCTGCCAGTGTCCCAGTCTCCAAGAAATCCAATACTCCCAGTCTTCCAGTCCCTCAGTCTCCCTATCTCCTAGCCTCCCAGTGTCCAAAAACCCTAAGGCTCCCAACCTCACAACCTCAAACGTTTGAGTCTAAGCAAGGCGTGAAGCAAGGGTATCCTTTATCTACGGAGTTGTTGGACTCTTCATTGAGACACTAGCTGATCTGATTGATACTTACGACCTTATAGAAGCTGGAATGCGTATGCATGACGCGCCCCTTGTGGACAGCAAGCGCGTCTCCATACTTGTTGTATGCAGACGATGTTAGTCTGCTAGCGACGTCACTAGAGCGAATGTCTGAGTTGCTACATCTTGCTACATCTTGTGGGCTTGTTTTGCGAAGCCTTTGGGATGCGACCAAATGTCTCGAAGTGTGAAAGGCTTGTTTTTACATGTGATGGCACCCAGCAGTCGGAACTTATCGAGAGATGTCAACAGTTACGGCTATCAGGCCAGGTAATACCTGCCAAAAATAGCGCTCGCTATCTGGGCTTGGTATACGGGCCAGAACGGCCTTTTAGTGCGTGCCGCCAGCAGTTATGTGATACAGGTCGGTCCGCTATGTTTTCCTTAAGCGCAAAGCTGGACAAAATAAAGCTGTTTGCCCCCGACGTGCGAATGCGGTGCTTTGCAACCCAAGTCCGAGCAATTCTGTTGATGTTGTTACAGGGCGGTTAAGCTTCACCAGTTGGGGAACCTCAATGTTACGACTGTTTTCCTTCTTGGAGTGCAATATTAGGAGCGGAATACCGCAAGAAGTCATGGGGGTAAAGGAGCGTGTTGACTGGTTGTTGAGTAGGCCTCTACCCGAAGGAGCGATGATAACAGCACTAAGAGAGCGTTTGATGAGTGGCTGGGACCATACGCGTCTGACTGTCTTGCCAGAGGGCACTGGATGGAGCTGCCCTTTTCGGGAGCCGCAGCCGTCATGTGGCCAACACATGCTAAGGTCTTATTCCTCGTTTAGCACATTGTAAGCTAATGCAGTTTTGTTGACGTTGCTGGGCTCTGGAGGCAAACAGAGCACGAAGAGGCAAGTACCATGTCCCCAGGGGGCAGCGGTTTTGCCGCTGTTGTGGTACTAATAGCCGAATCGAGGATGAAAAACACGTGTTATTGGAATGCCCAGCCTATAATGATATTCGTGCTGAAGAGGGATTCGGTCATCAACAGAGCATGTTGGAGGCCATGAATGGGAGCCAGCACGTCTGGCGAGGATGTTGGAACGTATGTGGGCTCACCGAAACTCAATTACCCCCTTTGGACGCTAGTCTGGGCTGATGTGCGGTGTTTCCTTTTCTCCGTGGCTTTTAGGCGTTGTAGTATTGCACTTGGGCCTTCGGCTCGTATGGGTAGTTTTACAGGTATGGGGTCACGCACCCCCAACCATGTAACACACACACACATATTGAAACGAATCATATAATAAGGGCTTGGCACTACTGGTAAGGCGCGACCATTGCCCCCGGGAGATCCCGGGATCGATACCCGTTAAGGTCACAGATCCATCCGCTGATGGAAGGCACAGTGCCCCTAGCTGAAGGACGGTGGTGACCTGGGATAAAGTTATCCTGCGAGCCGCGACCGTCCAGGAACGGAGTTGGGCCGCTGTCGACCCGGCAGATTCCATTGGATGCTGGTGGTGGGTGCAGAACCTGAGCGATCCACTGAGAAGTTGTCAAGGGAGACTGGATGAGGGTGCCCCGAAATACCGGGGAAGGCAGGGTTTCGCAGGGTAGCTGCCACGGGCGAAGATACACCCCCCTGTTTCACACATCATATAGTCCATGGCCTCCCGGCTTTGACGGACCCCCCCTCGTGCGGCACTTGTAACTTGTAACTTAGCAAGCTAAACGTCTAGCAGCTATACTTAGTTGCACGGCGGCCTAATACGTACTGTGAAAGTGAATGGGTTCCGTGCTGCAAGTCAGGCTGGATGTAGGCATGGTTTTGGCACCTGAGCACCATCTGTTAACATAAGGGAGTAAGGGAGCCTACGGCTCTATGTGCCCCTAGAAAGAGGTGGGATATTGCTCCTTGCCTGCCGCTTTCTCGCTCTGCACCTCGTCCTCTGCTGTTTCCGTCCCCTGCCATCTTATCCCCTGCCGCCTCCTCCCCTGCCTGCTCCTCGCCTGCCGCCTCCTCCCAACTCTAGGGTGTCCATGTGCACGACGTCGCCTTCCGTTTGTGTACAACTGAAAACAACGTAACCAAACTCGGACTTCTAACAATACTAAATCTTAGTTTCTGCCGCAAGGCTATATCCCCTGACGCCTCGTAACTAACCTGCCGCCTCCTCCCCTGCTGCCTCCGCCACTGTCACCTCATCCCTTGCCGCCTCTATCCCCTGCCGCCTCATCCCTTGCTGCCTCCGCCCCTGCCACCTCATCCCTTGCCGCCTCTATCCCCTCCCGCCTCATCCCTTGCTGCCTCCGCCCCTGCCACATCCTCCCCTGCCACCTCCTACCCTGCCACCTTCTCCCCTGCCGCCTCTATCTCCTGCCGCTCATTGCCTGCCGCCTCTATCCCCTGCCGCCTCTAAGCCCTGCTGGTCCTGGCCTGCCACCTTCTCCCCTTCCGCCTCCGTCCCTGCCACTTCCTCCCTTTGTTAAGACCAGCAAAGCGCCGGACCCCGTTGGGTCCTATTAGTGTAGTTACCATTCACTAGCATGAGTGTCGATCATTTCCAACACCCTTCCGCATCTATCCCCTGCCACCTTCTCCCCTGCTGCCTCTATCCCCTGCCACCTTCTCCCCTGCTGCCTCTATCCCCTGCCACCTTCTCCCCTGCCACCTTCTCCCCTGCTATCCACTGCCGTGTCCTCCCCTATCGCCTCCTTCCCCTGCCGCCTTATCCCCTGCCTCCTCCTCCCCTGCCACCTTCGCCCTTGCCGCCTCTATGGATGGCAGGCTGTGTCGTAGCCCTCAGACAGAAAGGAGAGCAAGGAGACATCTTTTTGCCTTTCTTTTACTAGCTCTCACTTTACTTTGGAAATTGCTCTCACTTTCTTCGGGAATGCATCCAAGGAAACAGACGTGTTTCCGATCTTCTTACTTGGTGTTGAGAAACACTGACTCTCACTTTCTTCGGGAACGTGTTTTTCTGCCTTTCTTTTACTTGCTATCCCCTGCCGCGCCTCGCCTGCCGCCTCCATCCCCTGCCGCCTCTATCCCCTGCCGCCTCCACATCCCTGCCATCTTCTCCCGCCTTCCCCGGTATCTCGGGGCACCCTCATCCAGTCACCCTAGTCAACTTCTCAGTGGATCGCTCAGGCTACGCACCCACCACCAGCATCCAATGGATTCTGCCGGGTCGACAGCGGCCCAACTCCATTCCTGGTCGGCTCGCAGGTTAACTTTCCCAGGTCACCACCGTCCATCAGCTAGGGGCGCTATGCCTTCCACCAGCGGATGGACTTTTGACCCTAACGAGTATCGATCCCGGGATCTCCCGGGGGCAATGGTCGCGCCTTACTAGTAGTGCCAAACCCACATATGTCTGTCTTTTACTTGCTTGAACAGGCGACTTGTTACAAAATGTCCCAAAACGAGCTTACTCGCCTAAGATTTGAACAGGCCGCTTCTCAGTAATCTCACGCTTTTTCTTTTGGAAAATTATTATAGGTCGCAACAGGGAAAAGCAGTATGAGGTACGTATCAATCTTAAACAAGTGAAGTCAAAGTTCTATAGTGCCTGACTATCCATCTGTCCCTCTTTTTCCTCATGAAAAGCCCAAGCATTCCCTTCAAGCATTCCCTTTCACGCGTGAACGAACAAACGAAGGAACTAACGAACGCACGGGGGTTCTAGCCGTAGCCCTCAGAAAGGAGAGCAAGAACGAAAGACAGAAACACTGCCGTGTTCCTGCCTTTCTTTCACTTGCTCTCACTTTCGACGGGAATTCTTCAGGAATTTAGGCATTTCATCTCTCAGCACACAAGAGCTGGCCCCAGGCAGCTCATCGTCATGCAGATTGACTTCAGCGAGGCCTTTGCCCTGGACCACGAGACGCTCTTTCTGTCACTTTCTGGAGTCTTACGAGCTCCAGGGACGTGTCATCGATGCCCTTGATGAATCGACGGCGGCGGCAGAGGCTGACTGTTACTTCGAAACGGGAATGCCGGCGAAGAGTTTGGACTTATCAGAGTAACGATCGGCAGGACTTTTAAGAGATTCCGTTGAGGAATACCGCCCTATGAAAGATGTGTGAAACAGGGGGGTATCTTCGCCCGTGGCAGCCACCCTGCGAAACCCTGCCTTCCCCGGCATTTCGGGCACCCTCATCCAGTCACCCTAGTCAACTTCTCAGTGGATCGCTCAGGTTACGCACCCACCACCAGCTTCCAACGGAATATGCCGGGTCGACAGCGGCCCAATTCCATTCCTGGTCGGCTCGGTTAACTTTATCCCAGGTCACCACCGTCCATCAACTAGGGGCGCAATGCCTCCCACCGTTGGAAGGACCTGTGACCCGGGTATCGATCCCGGGATCTCCTGGGGGCAATGGTCGCGCCTTACCAGTAGTGCCAAACCCTATGGGCCTTACACTACTGCAGTACTGCAGTACTCTCGGAGCGCCAGGGCGCACATGTGTGCCGAAGTGCGGTCTAGCGCCACTCGGCGCGGTCTGAGCGCACTGTCTAGCGCGGCCACACCGCACGGCCGAAAAAACTGACACACAGCACAAGACAACTAAATGCAGCATTAATAACTGCGTCCACTGGTCACCCGCCCCGAGGGCAAACCTGAAGCGTCAGCGACGCACGAACCACAACCTGGCCAGCGGTGCTGACCAGGCGACATTCCTAGCGCGCAACGATACTCTAAAGGCACTTATTTGCCCTGCGGTTATCGCTGTACATATTGAAGAATTGGCGACGGTGACGGCTAACGCTGATTGTTATTCCGGAAGGATTGCCGGTGGCGAAGATATTTAGCACGATAAACTTGTTACAAGTAATGTAAAGAGTATTGTTAGCGTTCGGCAGGACTTGAGGAGATTCCTGGTAGGAATACCGATCGTTGTGAGATA